TTGGTCAAAACCACCCCTGACCTCCACAGCCTTCTTCAACTTGTACAAATCCAGAGGGCGTTTATCGACGCTCGGGAAACGGTTGAGATTGGTTCCATGTTGTTTGTGAAATTTGGCCAGTTGATCGAGATAATTTAGATTTGCTCGGGTTCCTGGGTCCGGGTCAGAACTAGGCTGTGGAGCACCACCGGCGGCAGACGTGGCTGAACGCGGGGGCATACCTCCTTCAACCGAGTTGAGCTCCTGTCGGCGGGTTTTGAAGTGGAATCGCTGTGAGGCTATTTGTCAGCGTCCATACCTCAACTTATATTATTGTGAATTGGCAGAAGGAAGAGGGGGGGGAAGAAATTCTCATCCAAGCTGATAGACAGCCCTAGATGTGTACCCTGGCCAGCCAACAAATCATCCAAAGCATGTACGTACCTCTGTGTCAATGGCGAACGGCGGTTGCCAGCCCTCTGGTGGAATAATCCTGCAAATTCCATACTTCTTGCCTTCGGGCGCTATCTTGCGGATGTATTTTTCCGGATCCTTGAATTCCTCCTCAGTCGGCCGAAACGTGGGTGCCTCTTGTAAACCATGAGGTCGGATACGTTTACTTGGCTCTCGAGGGGCATTGGGTTGTCCCCGTCGCTCAACTGTGGACAAGTCGAGAGGTGTAGACCGTCGAGCACTTAAGGGTACATTGTGCGAATGCGACGGATGGGTGCTAGAGGATCGGGTGGGTTGACGGCTCGCCGAAGGCTGTCCGCCAGTCGAGTTGCCTCCCGTCGAGGCCGGAGCCACCATTTCTTATATGCGACGGTCTGGTCGTGAGCGGAAGAAAATTGCGCGTGTCTTATCGCGGATGGAAGGGGGCAGTCATCCGATGCGAAAGACACATGAGAGAAAGGACAACCGTCGAGGAGTGGAGGAATACGGAGGGTAAAGCAAGTGAGCCGACTGATTGGGGGCAGTAGTAAGGGCAGCGGCTATATGTGAGGCACGCCCCGGGGGGGAGCAAGTCGATGATGGAGAGGATAAAGTAGATGTTCTAAGGTGAGGCCGAGATGAACCCGGGAGGACAAAGAGTGTGGAGAATCTCGGAAGAGGATCAAGAACCGGTAGCGTGTGCCACCAGGCCAAGGGCAGGTCAGCGCAGGAAAGTAATCCTAGGTAGCAATTCGGTTGTTGATGGAGAGGAGGAGCTATGCGTGTAATTGTGAGTTAGCAGGCCGTAACGATTGGAGGAATGATCGTAGATCGATGGCTAGTTAGTGTTGAATTGGGTGTGTAAAGTAAAGTAAGGTAGGGCAGGTGGTTGGTTAGGTAAGTAATCCGACTAGTCACTCATGTCAAGTTAGTCGTACCTCAGTTTAGGTTCGGTATGGTACTTGCTGACGGACGGGAATTTATTCCCAGGGTATGTGTACTCCGAGTAGGAAGAAGATATCAAACCTACCTAAGTAGTACTACTAAACTGCCGGTTCAGGTCAGCTCCTCTGCCGACTAGTATTACAGAGAGTATATAATAAGTGGGTGGATCGACCTTTGGAAAGGAAATCTTTTTTTGTTTTTGTTTTCAGAAGATGGAGGGAACGCACCATCGAAAGGGAAGCCAAACTAATGGAAGGGGGGCTGGAAAGGATGTTAAAAAAAAAAAAATATTAAAGGAAAAGAGGGAAGAAAAAAAAAAAATAGAAAGGGTTATACCTAGGCTTCGATCCATGACTTGTATTGCAATTGCTTCACTACGATTACTTTACTTCTGGGGCTGGTAGCGAAAACCCTTGAACCGTAATATCAGGTCTTCGTATTACGGTATCGAAAGGTATTTGCTGGCCGCAAACGGTGAGATGTGACGAGATATTCCCAGAATTGGAAATGGCACGTAGCTTGAGCTCCATCACCTGCTATATGAAGAACCTCTATTGCATTTTTTTTACGCTAGTTATACTCCGTAGATAGTTGAAGAACGAACATAGATTTCATTCGATTGGAATAACTCTAACCTAGCATCTTTGCAGGCCCAACTGAGTAGAGGGGAAGAATCCCTTCCCATTGGTACTGTACCGCAGGAGACGTATGAAGTTGGTAACTACTACTAGTATTACCACAGGTTTATGGTGGTGTCGGGTTGTCCACTACCTAGTTTCAACCGCAGGTCGGGCTCATGAGATGATTAACGTATCTTCCTACAAACAATACAAACTAACCCGTGAAATATGTAATATCTTTTCCGTTGACCCGAGTCAGTCTCATGAGAAAAGGATTGTCCCGGTAGGTCCCTGAGCCCTAGGGAGGACTACTGTACTACTACTATTACTACTAGTATAGTGTGCACTCCGTACGGGGTGTATGAAACGCTGTCAGTTATGACACGTCAACCATGGTCCGGATCCGACCACAATAGCAATGATCCCTAATTGATAATGAGACATAGTCTGACTTCAAATGCTTCTGAGCGACACCCAGAGCTTGTCTACTACTAGTAGTAGCGGATCTGTACCCTGATAAGCGTCTCTTGTCACTGGTTCATGGTGGTGGTCGTCATGCAGGATACGCTATTTTTCATATCACATGAGCCCGTAATTTTACGGGTGGATTGCTTCCGGACTAGATCGGGTTTCCAGTCCATAGCGAAGCCACCGCGTCGGCTTTGTGTTTGTCTATCATCTCAGAACGGAGTAGTGAGGTATGCGAGTGATTTTCCACGGGGAGAACCCACGCTTATCGAGAATGGATGTACATAACTATTTTCCAATAAATAATAGGCCATCTTATTGACCCCAATACTACTAGTACCCACTCGTAACCCGTATACACAGTATGCACTCTGTATGTATGTACTTACAAATGGTTTTTCTACTCTCAAAGCTCTACCCACATTCTACAGTTTGTATATTCAACCTTTCTCAATTTTTAATCTTTTTGTAATGGTCGCCTGGATTATCTACCCAGCACTTTGACCCCTTGTTCTGTAGCGCTGACATGGCGGCGGATCATGCAATCAATCCCCCTTCCGATTTTATTCCTGAGGCTGAAATGGAAATTCAATCAGTTCTTGGTGAGATCATATGATTCCAGTGAATGGTGCCTGAGGCATACTATCCACTTGGTTCCCTGCTTTGACATCAGCGCAGATTTCAAATTTCCATGGCTCAGTTGCCTCGTTGTGGAATGTGGGGTTTGTGTAATGTTACATTGCATAAATACAAGAAGTAATCTTTTTCTCAGAAAGAGGCAACTTTAAAAGACAATATAGTTACAGCAGTGGGTTGGCAAAAGGTGCTGCTTATGACATCCGTATCATGTGACCGGGATATATATCAGCGTGACAACATTTACAGTAACGAGAAGTGCAGCATTAGTATTTACTATGGGATTGTCACCATTGTACAATGCACACAGGCAAAGAGGCAAATTTCCACTGACACAAACCACCAATTTTGAATAAAACCAACTTTTGGTAAAGCTTTGTCACACCTGAGCCTTCTGAGCGATGGCCGATGTAGATGACGTCCATACAAAACCTATCCCGGCCTTTTATTGCTGTTATCTCCTGAGATCAACCGTTCGGCAAACTTCTCTGTACATCGGCTCTACTCCTCATCCATCTAGACGGCTCGCGCAGCACAATGGTGTCTCAAAAGGCGGAGCACGCAAGACTGCAAATGACAAGAGACCTTGGGAAATGGTGCTCATTGTAGAAGGCTTTATGAGCCGGACTGCTGCCTTGCAGTTTGAGTACGTGGAGTTCTTCGGCTCTTCATTTTCTTCATCTACCTCCTCTACCGCCCCCCTCCTTCCTGCCTCAAGCACTTGACTCTTGAGTTAGTGCTATAGATACGACTCAATCTTTCTCATCATTAGCCTGAACTAGATGTCTAATATCTCTGCAGATGGGCATGGCAGAAGCCGGGCAAATCTCGCCATCTTGGCTTTGATGATGATAATACGGAATCTGCTGGAGGGAAGGGTAAAACCCGGCCTCGTGGCCCCGCGAGGTCCTTGAAAGGGCACCTGGAGAATTTGCACGCTTTGCTCCGATCGACATACTTCTCTGGTCTACCTCTGAGAGTACGATTCTTTGCCGAAGACGTTCACCAACTGTGGAGGGTCTGGAGTGATCGCGTAGATGGTATTATTCCGGAGCACATCAAAGTTATTCCAGATGGTAGCTGTGTCGAGAATAAGCAGCCTGACATTGAGTACGGGAGAGTTGGTAGCATCGAGCACATCCAGGTCGATTACAGTAAGATACATAATTATCTGGAGAAGGCAGCGTTTCAACTGGACGATCCAGAAGACTTGCAGTGCAAAGTTTGCCAAACACCGGTTGTCCCGAAGGAAGAGCTGGTCGTTGTCTGTCCTCAGATGCGCTGTTACTGCGTGAGTCATTTATTATGTCTATCGGCTAGGTTCTTAGATTCTACTAAAGAGCGAGGAAGACTCGTGCCCATAGCTGGCAAATGTCCTGGATGCCACAAAATTGTCCAATGGTCCCTGATGATGCAGGAACTGAGTCTACGGACCCGAGGAGGAAAGGAATTGCAGGCTATTTTGAGGAAGAAGAAACGAGGGGATTACAGGAAAAATGACGTTTCGAGAGAGGACACTGATGATGTGAGCACAGCTACTGCAGAATACTGTGACTTTCCAGAGTCAGTTGGTGGCTCAATAAAAGGGCCGAACGATGCCTCCGATGAAGGCGCCCACGATGACATCCCTCTAGAAGATGACTGGTATGAGTCGCTGGCCCTCGACTCAGATCATGAGATCGGTGATTGGTCGAAGGGCCATTGTAGGATGGCCACAAGAGTCGAAATAGTCATCGAGGATAGCGATTGTGATAATACAGGATAAAAGCTCCCGGGGATTCGCCTTCAGCCAATCGAGTTGGAATCAAGCTGCAATCGAGTCGAACTTTCGCAAAGGCCCAATAATCCCAACGCGCGCTATACAGTCAGTTGCTTTGCTCCGAATCTCTTCTGATACTTCTTGAAATGATCTTCCTGCATTTACAACGTGGATGTCGCCGTGGGGTTGCAGGTCAAATAAAGTCTGGAAGAGTTCGCGTACACGGCTCTGCATGGTTTCGTTCTCATACCGTTCCACGCCAAACCCGCCCCGCTTTGCGGCCTCTGAAGGGAGATACGAAGGAAAAGGCACATATCTGGCCGGGGCAATCCGACTTCTGGCTGCCACGCCCAATCAAGAGATAAAGTTGGAATGCCTTTTGCGGCAGAGTACACGGCACCGGAGTATGAGTAACGGTCCACAATCACAGTGATCCCCTTGGCTATGTCTGCTTTAATATCCTTGGCAACCTCCCAACGGTTGGCAGAGAAGAGGAGATGAATTGAGTGGTCGTCCAACTGTGACTGACCACGTAAATAGCTATCAATTAGTTTGCCAATGGCCGTGGTACGGTCTGAAAAGGAGCTAAATTAGAGTGTTGTCCGCATGACCGAAGAGATCTTGCCGCGAGAGATACCTGGAAACCGAACATATTTTACTGAGTGGCCTGACTCTTGCAGATAGTCGCGCAGGTGCTCGCACTGGCTTGATTTTCCAGCTCGATCCAAGCCCTCGACGACAATGAGCGCCCCGCGTGTTTCTCCGCGATTTGTATTTTTCGACATGGTGTATGGATGATAATAAGAATGGTAATGATAATAGTGGTTCCAATAGTTGACGATGAAAGTACTATTTGGGGTTGGAAAATATTCAAAATATCCCTCGAAAATAAAATACAAATTGCCTGTCCGATGTTAAGAGGGAAGATCTCACAATGCGGAGTGTGTGAACGGCGGAGGCTGGATTTATTAAATTTATCCAGTTACTCTCGGTCTGTATTTTCAGGCATCCCACTTCCCTCTTTTGGCCAGATTAATTTCTCTTTTCCCCGAACAATCAGAGATCAGCACTGCGCCAGTCTCCAATCTCTCCGGTGCACCGCCATGGGTTCTGATGCTTCGCAACGGCCTCCCAATGATATGGTCAATTTTAGCCTTCTAAATTCTGTTACTGCGTCAACATTAGCCCCGCGAGTGGGCAAGCTGGCAATCGCGGGCAGAAATGCTATCCTTACGCCGCACTATATCCCATTGACGTCGCGGGGAGCTGTACCCCATATCGCGCACGATGTCATGCGCGACCAGACTGCTATTAGCGGTCTGTATTTTGCTCTAGAAGATTGTATGCATTTTTGACTACGTCCCCAACTTATCGATATCCTGGGCATTATGAAGCACGCAAGGCGCTGACAGTTAAAGATCAGTCATAGAAAAGCTGCAGAAGAAAGCGTGCCCACCAGTCTACAAGACACCAGCTGCGCCGAATGAGTCGCCTCTGCGCAACTTTGTTTGCCTCCCCAAAGACCCTGTGCTGGTTTTGGGCCCACGTCGCGTGCCTCCGCTCGCGTGTCCCCCGTCGAATACACCAAACTCGATTGCTGTGCTCACCGCCGTTGGCTTCGGACAACTAGAGACTGGTCAGTATGTCGAAGCCGTGCAGAAATTACGTCCAGATATTGTGGTTGGTCTGGCCGATTTGGTCTTGACCCATCGGCCTGGGATGAAGAGACAAGGGAAGATGGTGGATAGGACTCATGCGTTTACTACGTATACTACGGAGCAGCTTTATGGAGATGCGGTCTCAGAGGAGAATCGATTGAAGACGGCTTACTTTGCTCCTATATTACCGTTGGACAATGCGCAGCAGACACTGTATTTGGAAGACCTGGAAGACGAACTCCGACGGTATATTTCCGGTCTTGCATTATATGAGTCGGAGTCGCTGTCTGTCGTTCCCGAATCTTTGGGACATCTTCCCCGGTTGCTCTTCAGCGAACCGGTTACCCCACATGACATTTTGCGCGAAGTCTCCCTTGGCGCTGACCTTCTAACGATTCCGTTCCTGGGCCACACCACGGACGCCGGCATGGCCTTGGACTTTGTCTTTCCACCACCATCTGATGTCCATGACACGTCTGCCACAGAACCCAAACCGTTGGCATTTGATCTATGGGCGCCTACTTTCACAACAGACACAGCGCCACTCAACGAAGCATGCCAGTGCTACACCTGCCGAAATCATCATCGCGCATATATCCACCATCTTCTGTCGGCGAAGGAAATGCTGGCTTGGGCTCTCCTCCAACTCCACAATCTCCACACGATGGATAGGTTCTTCGCGAAGATCAGAGAAAGTATCCAACGGGGTACTTTCGAGTCAGATGTTCAAAGATTCCAGCACATTTATGCCCCTCAACTACCTGAAAAAACAGGCCAGGGCCCAAGGTAAGCGAGCTCTTCGTTTCTCGTATACATTTCAACATAATACCACTGACACGATCTTTCCACAGAATTCGTGGCTACCAGGCCCCAAGCAGGGGACCAAATGAACCTCGCCGTAACCCTCGCGCATATGGTCGCTTGGACACCATAGGAAAGCTTGCCGAATCGCAATCTTCTATTGCTACCCCGGACACAGGGGCCGAGGGGCTCGAGGAACATGGCTTTGCCAAGAAGTTGTCCTCCTGAGATTCGGTTCTACAGTATATATGAAATCTATACCTGACGCTACTGACACGAATTTTGGTGCTGAGGCGTATGTGGTGTTCACCTTTGGTTTTGTTTCTGCCTCTCATAGTCTTGATTCTTGGGGATCGATACTGTTTAAAGCGAGCAAATGTGCCCCACAATGATGCATTCCAGCTAGATATAAGATCTCTAAAGCTTAGACTGTCATTCAATAACTACAACGTGATTATGATTGATCATAAGATCATGATGCAATGAAGCAAATATGAACATGGGAACGATGACACTCATAGTTCCTTGACACGGTTTTATACTTTTCAGTCTTCGCGACTAAGAAAAGCCAGCGCTGCTTATTTTGCGTTCAGTAGTACCCTCCACATAAATTTCTTCTCATCCTCCTCTTCCTCCGATCCCATCTCGGTGCCCGCTCCAAAGTCCTGCCCGACAACGCAGACGAGCCAAACATCGTCCTTGGTTTCATTGAGGAAACGCTCAGTTGCAGAGTTACGGGGGTAGATGCGGCGCCATTCATCCCAGATTCGAAACGCCTCGTCACCCCAAGCGCGGAAGCTGACTTCTTCAATGATAGTGGGGGTGACGATTTCTTTTCCACGAAAGACACCCCATGTCACGGAGTTGACATTATTCGGGTTCATTTCAATGGGATCAGCGTCGGAGGTTTGGGCCGGCAGAGACGATTCAAAGTCACCCTTAACATTGGCAGCGAACCAGGCAAGTTTCTCATGACCGTGCTTCTGAAGTAGTGGCTTAAGTATTGAGTGGTAGTCTTTGCTGGGACAGAAAAACTCAACGAATGGTTTCTGGAAAACGAATCCCTCGCGAGGGGGACCCCAGCCGTAAATAGGGTCATCACTACGAACGCCGTTCACAGCTGGCTGAGATGCCAAAGTCCACCAACCATTACCATCAATGAGTTGTAGAAGCTCTGGGCGAATGATTTCTGTTTCTGCATTCAAGCCAGAGCTACCTTCTTCAGCACCGCCTTCTGACCACGGAACCATATGCAGTTCACCTGAGACGTGGCGGCGGAAGAGAGCGCTGATGTCCTCACGCGACACAGGGAAACCCCAGATTCTGTGGGCAACTGAAGGAGGAACGTGTAATGACGGGCCATAACCATCAATCTCACCGAATGCTGGCGAACGGGCATCACCCCAGCGACCGTTGGGGAAGTCATCCCACGTAGCCTCCCTACCAAGTGCCCCCAGACCTTCGGAAATCTGAAGGGTTGTACTGCGATCTGGTGGCATCGCAGGCATCCCAGCACTAGTAGCGGGGGCTTCATGAGAAATGGAGGCCTTCGATGACGCTTCAGAAGCATGTAGTTTGTCTACAATGACCCGGTTATGGGGAAGGGAATTGATAGACGAAGCCCTTCTCCTGGTTAAAGAGCGTAGTTGAGCCCCGTCCATCGCAGAGATATCATCACCTTCTTCTATTGCGTCGAAGTCTTCAGAGTATGGAGGGATCAGGTCGCAGCGTTCAAGGATGAAAGACACCGTCTTCTCAAGATTCAGTGTATAAAAGTGAAACCCTCGGATTCCAGGACAGGGGATATCTCTCATGCCATCCACAAGACTGCTGATAATATCCACACCAATGCGCTTCACAGAATCGTCATCGTGTTTAACTGCTTCTAGCTTCGAGAGAATCTGAGGCGGAATTTGGACATGGCTGAGCTTTGTCACTCTCGTCAAGATCTTGTAGCTGTGGATTGGCATCAGGCCAGGAATGATAGGGATGGTCTTGAAGGCGCCCGATTCGTGGTTCCGTAGCATATTCTCAAACTTAGTGTATGCCTCAATGTCATATGTCAACTGAGTCATTATGAAGTCTGCACCCGCCTGAGTCTTCTCCACTAGATATGGAAGGTCGGTCTTGGGATCCTGGACGTCTTGGAAAGAATCGACTGGGTGACCTTCTGGGTAGGCAGCCACGCCTAGACAAAAGTAATCACCGTACTTTTGGCGAATGTACCGTACTAGATCCACCGCAAACGTAAAGTCCTTGTTGCTATCGTCTTCTCCATGCATGTTGTATTCCTCACTGCGCGGCGGATCACCCCGAAGAGCCAGGATATTGCGTATTCCCAATACCTTGGCCTCTTCTAGTGCCTCATCCACCAAGGCCCGACTCATATTGGTGCAGGTAAGATGTAAACATGTTGTCAATTGCAACTGGCGCTGGCAGATTTCCGCCAACTCCAGAGATCTTTGTGCAGTGCTACCTCCGGCGCCCCAGGTGACAGTGACGAACAATGGTCGCAAAGCTTGTGCCATGCGTTCCAAACGGGCTTGAAGATTGGCAAAACCCTACGAGAACCAGACTTGGTTAGCAGTCAATCTCGATACCTAGACGCACCTTCAGTGCGGGGAGGAGGGGTACCCCACCATCTGAGTCTTTGGAGGGAAGAACTCCAAAGAGAAGTAGTTTGCGTCCGGCGGCAAAGCCGCTATCTTATCCGTGATCTTCTCCATCTTGTTCCCAGAATCTGTTCCGACGACGTTACGGGAAAGGTGGTAGTTGAAGAAGGATGACTGGGGCGATATCCATCGGGGAGGGAAAGGTTTGGGCCGGAGTTTAACGGGCCCTCCGATCAACGGAAAGGGAAACATGCCAATGACATCTCCATGAAGGTAGGATTACATGGCATGGTCGAGAGCGACTATGGGAGGTACTTCAGTGGTCTTAATTGGATCTGATCTTGAAACAGTCGCATGCTATCAGCGCAAGCTACCCAAAAGATGGGCCCATTCTCGAACAAAAGTTACTCTCAGAGATTCAGAGACGCCTGGTTGCAAACATAGCAAACAGCCACCCGTTGTCGCGGATCAACACAGTATACGATCATGGCTGATACACCAATCCATGACGCTACAACTTTCTTTGATCTGCAACAATCATACCTGACCACGGCGCAAGATGTCCCTATTTCGACGTCAATCGGCGCTCTTTCACCACAATCGCCTTTCATCAGCTTTCAAGCATATGTCCCGTCGCCAATTCTCTACTCCTGCCTCTTCCACCCCAAAAGACTCTACTTCTCGCCTCCGCAAGCTCAATGATCGCCTCCCATCCTTCCTTCGCGCCTATACGACCCCGTTACTCGGGGCCCCGGGAACACATATTACCTCCTTTTTGATCCTACATGAAATCACCGCCGTGGTACCCCTATTCGGACTTGTGACGGCTTTTCACTACGGCAATTGGCTACCAGACTTAACCTCGACTAACGCCTTTGAAGAAGGAACCCGGCGATTCGGGCGGTGGTTGCAGAAGAAAGGCTGGGTGGAAAATGTTGATGTGGACGCCATTGAGATGGCCGCAGGTGTAAACAGCCATGACCCTGTTACAAAAGATCAGATGGCGAAGAGCGACAGGAAGGGTGTACGCCTGGTGCTGGAATTTGCGACGGCATATGCGGTCACCAAGGCTTTACTACCACTCCGGATTGCTGCAAGTGTCTGGGCGACACCTTGGTTTGCCCGAGCCATACTTGTACCGACAGGACAAGGGCTGAAAAAGCTGTTGGGGAGAAAGTAGAGTTTGACGGTCCCTAGTATCACTACAAATTCCGGACTTCTGCAGCTGCTGCCGCAGCAGCGGCACCAAAGCCGGGAAGTACATAAGAGTGTTTTGTACAGAGTACTTGGGCTCGTAGATATTGTATAATTTCTATTTCTCAGGACGTCTTTTCTGATTTATATCATTTGCTGCCCTTACGGTTTGAATCGAACCAGGGAGCAGATTTTCAGATCGAAGATCGAACAGAGAAATTTAGGCCTTCTCGTAGATCCAGTCGAACTGGCTGTGCTTGTACTTCTGGAGCTCCTCAGGCTTGAACCAGAGGGCAATCTCCTTCTTGGCGTTCTCGACGCTGTCAGAGCCGTGGCAGACGTTGCGGCCAACATCCTATACAAGAGTAAGAGTCATGCACAGAGTGTTACGGGTCACGGGAGGGAAAGTGTCTTACAATGGCGAAGTCACCACGGATGGTGCCAGGGGCGGAGGCAAGAGGGTTGGTGGCACCGAGGATGGCTAACGAATATCTTAGCGTTTGATCTTCAGAGTCATAGCGGACGAGAACTTACTGCGGCCGGTCTTAACGACCTCACGGCCCTCCCAGACCATGGCGACGATGGGGCCGCTCAGCATGTCTAGAAATAAATGTCAGCATCTCCGCACAAGACTTGGCCTCATTTACAGCAAGGAGCTTACAGGAGACGAGGCCGGGGAAGAAAGGCTTGGAGCTGAGGTCAGCATAGTGCTGCTCGAGGTGCTCCTTGGAAGGGGAGCAGAGCTTCAGGGCAGCGAGCTTGAAGCTACGATTCATTAGTACAGATCTTATAGGCACATTGTTAGGATTGGAAGAATACGAACCCACGGTTCTCAAAGCGAGAGATGATGGGGCCAACGAGTCCGCGCTGGTTGACATGGTTAGTATTGATTTCACCCCGAAAGCGCCATATCCGTATGGATCATGACAAAAATCGGGTGATTCGAGATCCATACCTGGACACCGTCGGGCTTGATGGCAATGAAGCTACATCAATTGGTTAGCTTGAGTAGACAACGAGGGGCAACCGAACGATGAAAAAACGAAGAAAAAATATTCCAGGGTGCAGGAAGGAGGGGTGGAAGGGATTGGGTGAAGGTTTGGGTGACTTACGTCTGCTCGTCGGACATTTTGAAAGATTTATGATGTCAAAGGTGACAATTGAATCAAAGAGATAGGATTGAGAGTGAGAGGAAAAGGAAAGCAGAGGTGCTGGTGTGAGTTGGCCGAAAATATACCAACGGAAGGACCGCAACGGTGGGGCACGAGGGGCTATCGTTGGCTGCTACCGGCCAGAGCTATGCCTGATTGCCTTGCAGCCTGAGGTGTCCGACCCCAACAGCCTGAACAGGGATAGCGCCCACCCTAACCCAATCTGGAGCTTCCCCATCTTTGCCGACCATCTGGCCAGCCTGGAACTAACGGTCATTGTACTATTATCAACGATCTAACGAACGTGACAGCTTCGTGTGTCGGACCTCCAGCTCGGGTAGATGCAGGCCAGCACATAGTGGCTGACAAGTATTGTACTTTCGGAGGTTGAGTGTCTCTGATTGCATTTGTTAGCTCAAAGATGGCCGGGAGGCGGCTGTTGTCCATTCGCTGGACCCTACTGCTTTCCTTGGTCACCCTACTCGGATGTCTTGTCATACCCGGAGGTAAACTTTTGTTTATACTCATGGCCCACAAGTTGTTATGATGCTAACAACCAAACTTAGTCGCTGTAAAGCACGAGAATTTCAAAAAATGCTCACAATCCGGTTTCTGTAAACGAAACAGGGCATACGCCGACGACGTCGCCGCCAAGGGCTCTGCTTGGAGCTCTCCATATGAACTTGACTCTTCATCTATCCAGTTCCAGGACGGTCAATTGCACGGAACAATTCTTAAATCGGTATCCGCCGATGAGAAGGTCAAGTTACCTCTCATCGTATCCTTCCTCGAGTCTGGAGTTGCCCGAGTCGTTATTGACGAAGAAAAACGCTTGAACAAGGAAATTGAGCTTCGCCATGATAGCCAGGCTCGCAAGGAAAGATATAATGAAGCGGAAAAATGGGTCCTAGTTGGTGGCCTGGAACTGAGCAAGTCTGCGACCCTGGATTCCGAATCGGAGACAGGAATAACCAGGGTTCTATATGGACCAGAGAATAGCTTCCAAGCAATCATTCGCCACTCTCCGTTTGACGTAGAGTTTCAAAGGGATGGACAGACTCATGTTCATCTGAATAACAAAGGATACCTGAACATGGAGCATTGGCGACAGAAGGTGGATACTTCCGAGGGTGACGGTGAGCAGAACTCTGGATCCCAGGAAGATGAGAGCACCTGGTGGGAAGAGACATTTGGTGGAAACACAGATACAAAACCCAAAGGTCCTGAGAGCGTGGGATTGGATATCACATTTCCCGGCTACGGCCATGTTTATGGTATCCCAGAGCATGCTGATTCCCTATCTTTAAGGGAGACCAGGTAAAATCCACCAAGCCTTCTACCTCGTTCTGTGAAGTAAGCTAATGATTTGATAGAGGCGGTTCCGGAAACCATGAAGAGCCTTACCGCATGTACAATTCCGACGTGTTTGAATACGAACTCAATAGTCCTATGACTCTATACGGTGCAATTCCACTTATGCAAGCGCACAGACCCGGCTCTACTGTCGGCGTGTTTTGGCTTAATGCTGCCGAGACATGGGTGGACATTGTGAAGTCGACATCCTCTGCCAACCCACTTTCTCTAGGGGTGGGCTCAAAAACCGATACTCAAAGTCATTGGTTCTCTGAGTCTGGACAAATCGACTTGTTTGTCTTCCTAGGACCTACGCCACAGGATATCAGCAAGACGTATGGCGAACTCACCGGTTATACTCAGCTGCCTCAGCACTTCGCCATCGCGTACCATCAGTGTCGCTGGAATTATGTCACCGATGAAGATGTAAAAGATGTCGATCGCAATTTTGACAAATATCAAATCCCATACGATGTTATCTGGCTTGATATTGAGTATCTTGATGACAGAAAATATTTCACCTGGGATCCGCTGACCTTTCCCAATCCGATTGGTATGGAGGAACAGCTCGATGAATCGGAACGCAAGCTTGTGGTCATCATCGACCCTCATATCAAGAATAAGGAGCACTACACCATCTCAGAGGAGCTTAAGAGCAAGAATCTGGCCACTCGGAACAAGGATGGTGAGATTTACGAGGGCTGGTGTTGGCCAGGGTCATCCCATTGGGTGGACTGCTTCAATCCGGAGGCTATCAAGTGGTGGATAGGCCTGTTTAAGTATGATAAGTTCAAGGGCACACTTCCGAATGTCTTCATTTGGAATGATATGAACGAGCCATCCGTGTTCAATGGCCCAGAAACCACTATGCCTAAAGACAACCTTCACTATGGCAACTGGGAGCACCGTGACATTCACAATGTCAACGGTATCACGTTTGTGAATGCGACGTACAATGCGATGTTGGAACGGAAGAAAGGCGAGCTTCGTCGGCCGTTCATTTTGACACGGTCGTATTATGCTGGAGCCCAGCGGATGTCTGCCATGTGGACTGGCGACAATCAGGCAACTTGGGAACATCTGGCCATCTCTCTGCCTATGGTTTTGAACAATGGCATTTCTGGATTCCCCTTCGCAGGAGCTGATGTTGGTGGTTTCTTCCACAACCCAAGCAAAGACCTCCTCACAAGATGGTATCAAACTGGCATTTGGTATCCTTTCTTCCGTGCGCACGCACATATAGATACTCGTCGGCGTGAACCGTATTTGATCAGTGAGCCTCATCGGTCTATCATCGCCCAGGCCATTCGTTTGAGATACCAGCTCTTACCTGCTTGGTACACTGCATTTCACGAAGCTTCGGTGAATGGAACGCCGATTGTGAGACCCCAGTTCTATGTTCATCCTTCGGACGAAGCAGGCTTTGTCATCGATGACCAACTCTACCTCGGTTCTACTGGTATCCTTACGAAGCCGGTAGTCTCTGAGGGAGCAACTACTGTAGACATTTATCTCGCTGATGATGAGAAGTACTACGATTATTTCGATTACACGGTCTACCAAGGGGCCGGTAAGAGACACGAGGTGCCTGCACCTCTTGAGAAAGTACCCGTTTTAATGCAGGGTGGCCATGTGATTCCTCGAAAGGACAGACCTCGCCGCAGTAGCGGGTTGATGAAATGGGATCCGTACACTCTTGTTGTTGCCTTAGACAAGAACGGAGAGGCAGATGGCACGCTGTATGTGGATGACGGAGAGACGTTTGATTATGAGCGAGGAGCGTATATTCATCGTCGTTTCCACTTTCATGCCTCCACTCTGTCGTCGGAAGACATTGGAACCAAGGGCCCCAAGACAGCCGAATACCTCAAGGCCATGGCAAGCGTGCGAGTTGAAAGGGTGGTGGTTATTGATCCACCGAAAGAGTGGCAGGAGAAGTCGTCCGTGACTGTCATCGAGGATGGTGCCAAGACTGCGTCCACAGCGGCCATGGAGTACCATACCCAGCCGGACGGAAAGGCCCCATATGCCGTGGTGAAAAACCCTACTATCAGCATTGGAAAGACCTGGAGGATCGAGTTCTGACCTTGAGAAAGGGCAGCAATGGGAATGCGTACTGACTCGCTTGTTTATTTATTGTCGAGATATATCCATTATCTATAGCAATTTATGATTTTATAGAGATGCCTTGGAAAATCCGGACAGGTCATGGTAACTACGTAATTCATTGTTTGGAAATCAAGCAAAATTAAGGTCTCAAGTGGGACTCGCTGAGTCAGCCCCAGGGACAAGAAAAAAGACCGCATGCGGCCGGTCGCGAAAATGGTCCAATAGAGAGAGATTGGCTACGGGGGTTATCGAACAATCTCTAGCTTTTAGTCCCTCTTTGCTTGGCTCGATTGACGACGAGTTATTTTTACGCGATCAAGATCCATCATCGCAGCCCGAGCAATTTTGACTAGCCCTGGTTTAAATCGAAGCGCGCCCCTGACACAGCAGTTTCACCTCCGGGGAGATCCACCAACTTCGTCCGTTCACGGGACAAGACCGGATACTCGCACTGACAACTAGGATCTTTTCTTCTTCCCTACTCGAGATTGTGATAACCCGAATTGACGACTAACCACTACACAATGTATCTTGTCTCACTCGCTCTCGAATATGGAGCGCCGTTCTTGTGGGTTAAATCTTTTCTCCCCCAACATCCCTCACTTTGGGACAACGGCCTTGGGAAGCTGACTGTGGGTTCTCATACTCTAGTCTTATCACCTCCCCGGTAACCTCCTATGCGGACCAAATTCTCAGTATTCATCGGAATAGGAGTTCCGCTGGCTTCTCGTTGGATATACCTCTGATCATGCTGGTCGCGTCAATCTTGAAGTAAGACTATATCGTCCGCTTTGCGCTGCGCTGGACGGCTTGGAATTGACCCTTGGGCTTAGAGTATTTTTCTGGTTTGGCGACAACTATTCCTTTACGCTGTTGGTGCAAGCCGTCATCATGATTGGGGTCCAAATGGTTATGCTCAAGGTTGCGCTGGATAATCGGCCGGCCCCCGGTGTGAAAAACAGCCTCGAGCACGTTCCGTTCAGCAGTGTCGGTAATGGCGGGGGACTTACTCGGCCCTATGACTTCTGGCAGTGGAAGAGCGCAAAGCCGTATGTACTCCAGATGCCGTTTAAACTATCAATATGTGTGGGAAACTTACTTTGCCGGCGATGCTAGGTATTGGATGTTTTTGGCTTATTTTATTGCTGGGCTCTCATTTATCCAGATCTGCCTACCTCCAATTGCTCAATCGGAGTTCTATATTAACTGCCTTGGATATATCGGTTTGACTGTGGAGGCTACCTTGCCTCTGCCTCAAATTATTGCTAACCATCAATCACGCTCATGCAAAGGATTCCGTTTGTCGGTTGTAGCCGCCTGGATTCTCGGTGATCTGATGAAACTGAGTTACTTCTTCTGCAGCCAGGAGGTCATTCCCTGGGCTTTTCGCCTATGCGCATTGTTCCAGTGCGTCTGTGATCTGTACCTTGGGGTACAGTTTTGGATGTATTCCAAAGCCTCGTTCGGGGCTGCTGGCAGCCCTAGGGAACCCAGTGGAAACTGGACTGTTGAGGAGAAAGACATCCGGATGACTTGAATGCGTAACGGCCGTTTGCTGTTCCCTGGTGCTTGATGCATTGTAGATACTGGGAACCCATGTTTTGTTCTTTTCAGAAATCCTACTTAGACTAATGGCTAGATTAATGTGAATATTGTTTCTTGGTTGCTGTTCGGGCCATGGCCAGTTGGAATAGACTGTGGAATATAGAGATATATAGAACTGTCCATTTGAGGTCGTTAAATCAATATCATTCTATCTCCCTTTGATATAAAATTAGGTCGCTGACGTGATGCCCCGCGTTCTTCCCCCCACTTATATATTGTCAAAAGTCCCTCTGCCTTTTACCCCTCCAACAAACCCCAGTTAAGGAAATCCCATTACCCCATAACCAATTCATCGCCGGGGGAATCAAGTTCATTTCCCGCATTAAGACATCATGGCTTCAGACACGGAAACCATCCGAATTGGATATGTACCAGGTAAGCTCCGCTTCCCTTTCGCACACGATACCACGCCATGAGCTTGAATACAAGACCTATAACTTCATACAAATACCTGCTTGTAAAGAACGTCGTTAACGCTATGGATCATAGAACACTATCTCACTCCTCTTCACCTTGTCCTCCGCTCTCCCGCTGTCGCATCCCTTCCGTTTAAGATTTCTATAGTTCCGTTCCCATCCGGGACAGGACATATGATCACCTCCCTGCGCGAGAAAGAAATCGACATCGCAATTGGTCTGACTGAAGGCTGGGTTGCTGGTCTGGCTGGAAAACAGCAAGCGCAGAAGGATGCAGCTTTGGGCGGATATAAAGTAGTTGGAGAATGGGTTGCTACGCCATTACGGTGGGCTATTGTCACCGGAAGAGAGAGAATGGACCTCCATGATGTTGTCGACCTGAAGGACAAGCGGGTCGGTGTTAGTCGACTGGGAAGGTATGCGTGATTGCCGTGTTTCGAATACTTGAGGACGAACATTGAAAGGGACAAATGCATGTGCTAATAGATCTCCAGTGGCTCTCACATCATGTCGTTTGTCCTTGCCCAGAAGCACGGCTGGAAACCCGATTCCTTGACTAGCGTCCCATTGGGACCCTTCCAGGCTCTGCGCAACGGAGTGACTGGGTACGATCCCTCACACCCGGAGAAGAATCCTGAACCTACCGCTGAGTTCTTCATGTGGGAACATTTCACAACGAAGCCGTACTTCCACCCGACAGCTGAGAAGCCCCATCCGTCACTCAAGAAAATCGGAGAAATCTACACACCGTGGCCGTCTTGGATGATCGTGGCGTCAACAGCTGTATTCCCAGACCCGAAGGTTGATGGTAAGCTACAACAACTGTTCAAGCTCTTGGACCAAGGTATCAAGGATTTCGAGGCCGATACAGCGCAGGCTGTGAGGCTACTTGGTACTGGAGAGCTGGGATGTACTTATGTAGAGGAGGATGCCACGGAATGGCTGAAGGATGTCAAGTTCGTCCAGGGCACAAGAGGCGTAAACCGGAAGATCATCGAGGGTGTAGTGGATGTTCTCAAGGTGGCGGGGGTGATTGACAGCGCAATGAGCAATGATGAGGCTATTACACGAGTTGTAGGGGTTCACCGGTAGGCTTGGCCTGGGCTATGGTGTTCTTGGTCGTCAGCCTGGTTTCAATCCTCTGAGCGAACAGGCCAACTTCTCAGTATATCGTGTCACATCCTCATGCCTAGAGGGAAAATTTTGGTCTTCATGGCACATCCAAAGCTCGGATCTCCGACTGGTCTAAGAAATGCTACGCAAAACACATACTACTCCAATATAAAGTTCACCCTTTCCTCGCAACACGAGTTGCACAACCTTACCACCTCTCAGATGAGATATTAATTTCTTAGTTTGCGTATACCCTGAGCCTACATTTGCCTCCTTGAGAATGGAGCATGAAAGGGATAATACCCGTGTGTGAGAGGCCGTTGGTCGCATGCTTCACTTTATCGCATATCTCATCGCCCGGGCGGAATTCACGAGCATTCCTCGGGTCAGTCAAAGATTTTGCTCCAAAGACAGCGGGCAGCTTGTCATTTTCTAATACGGAACTCAAGTCTATTCACCCGCTCATTTGATTGCGTGTTCCTTCTGGGGTCAATATATCGTCAACAGCTGACAGCGGGATGCATTACGCGGTCAACGGTCTGACATGTTATAGTCCCCACGGGACGTGCTCGCTGGACACCTCACAACAGTAGACCGACACGACGAACAGTCTGTACTGTCTAATCATGCGGGTTTAGCTGACTATATCGTTCCTGCATTTCCAGGTGGTAAATTGGCGCCTGGGGTGCTGCAGACGCACAAGGGGTCGGTCAGTATTAACTAGCATGAGCAAGCATGACTCGCATGACGCTAGGGTTCGTGACCTATGATTTTGAGGTTGATGTTGTCGAACGACTCTCTTGGCCGAGGTAGTCAAACAATAACTGTGATAGCTCAGCTTGTTTTGATGGAAAGATAGCTAACTCTTTCAGTACTACTCGGGGTATGTAGGAGCTACCAATATGTGGGCCATCATGAGTGTGTATTTCCAAAAGGAGAGGAAACATTCCACAGCCCGGAATCCCTAGTTCCCTGATAACGACTACGCGAGCACACTGGCCATTACTGGAAAGATGGCATCTAACCGACATACAGAGAATCATTACCTTATGTGCGAAGGCCGTCCATTATTGTGGAAACTTTACATGGCAGTCTTGTGGAATGCTCATGGTCTCCATTCACAGCAATGCTCGTCATTCTTTGGCAGCCATAACATGGGGTATGGGAGTTAAAATAAGCTATCGCGCACTCTTAATTCGTTTGTTTTTTAAGCTGTGAGCTATTCGACAATCAAGTGGCGCCAGAAAGCCAGTGTGTTCGGTCACTCCCTCGTTCTGCTTGTTGGAAGGATCGTAACAGGCACTCGCTTTCAACAATTTAGCGTTCATTGTTGGGAAAGAAAGAGTCATAAGCGGGACAATGTATTTCGCCAAGGGCCTTCTCACCTTAGCGATGGCTGCGGCCTCGTTAGGAGGAGCATACGCCAAACTCGATCTTTCTTCCACTTCCAACGTCGTTGTATACTGGGGTGCGTATAACAGAACAACACCGAGCTAGATTTTACTTACGCTGCCTGGTGGTTTAGGTCAGAACTCGTTCAGGGGAAATGGGGAATTGGCACAACAGCGACTTGAGTACTATTGTAATGGTAAGACTCCTGCATGGAGGGTTCATTTAATGCAGACACTAACTAGTTCTAGATGAGAAGATTGATGTGAGGCTTCCTATTACCAGAAAAATAGATGACTGTCGCTCACCTGCTGTCAGGTCATCGTACTTGCATTTCTCATGATGGTTAATGGTTCAGGGGGTGCGCCAGAGATAGACTTTTCCAATGCAAATGATAATTGCACCACTTTCGATGGCACAAACCTCCTGAAATGCCCCCAGATCGGGTACGTACAACAACATCATCTGAGCTTCATTTATTGTGAGACAAAGCTAACCACACCAGTGCGGATATCGACACCTGCCAAAAGAAGGGCAAGACCATCCTTCTGTCTATTGGTGGTGCTACCTATAGCGAGGGAGGCTTTGAATCCGAATCTGCGGCGAAGGCCGGTGCAGACCTGCTCTGGAAGACATTTGGTCCTCCCACAACACAGGGCCCATTGTTGAATGCCTCATCTCATAATGGAACGTCTCGCTACCATAACGGTCGTTTCAACCGTCTTCACCGTCTCAACGGCACTGGGATCCATGCAGTCCGAGCTAATTCCACAACGATCCGTCGACCATTCGGTGACGCGGCCATTGATGGATTCGACTTCGATTTCGAGGCACCTGTGAAGAATATGGCCCCATTCGCGAACCGGCTTCGCGAATTGTCGGACGCGGACAAATCCAAGCAATACTTTCTAACTGCTGCGCCACAATGTCCGTATCCAGATGCAGCAGACAAGGATATACTCAACGGGCCTGTATCCATTGACGCAGTGTTTGTTCAATTCTACAACAATTGGTGCGGAGTCAACTCTTTCTCGGCGGGCCAAGCAACGCAAAGCAGCTTCAACTTTGAGCAATGGGACAACTGGGTGAAAACCGTATCCCAGAACAAGAAAGCCAAAGTCTTGCTTGGTGTTCCAGCAAACACGGGAGCCGCGAGTACGGGCTACATCCCAGCGTCGCAGCTGGAACCGGTGATCGCATATAGCAAGTCGTTTGAGAGTTTTGGAGGTGTTATGATGTGGGATGTTAGTCAGGCTTATGGCAATACGGGTTTCTTGGATGGCGTGAAAGGCGCTCTGAAGAACTCCACAGCACACCTTTTGCGCCATGGATATCGCCTTCCCTCATTTTATCCTGTGATAGGCCGGTAGATGATAAAGGCCCGCATTCTTTATCTTTTACATTAAGCTAGGAGTTCGATGTTTATAATTTTGTGTCAGTTAGTGGGCTTGGCGGACGGAAAGGTTGTATATAAGAAGTGAGGGTATTAATCCTTGGTTGTCTCGGGCTGATACCTTTTTTTTTTTTTTTTTTTTTACAATTTAATCAATTTATCCCTTACCAGTGACAACAGTTAGGGCAACCTCGCGGCACGTGGTGTGGTACGGAGGCCCTTCAGCTCCTGCAACTAATTTCTCATCCATCACACCCTCCGCCCTGCAGAGCACAAATTGATTGCTTCCTGCATGTAACAGTCCAATAATTTGTTTCATACCGAGGGTGTCTTTTCTGCCCGGGTCAAGAAATCAAGGAATCCAGATCCCAATTCCTTGAAGGATGCAGCAATTAGCGCATCAGGATCCGCTCTAATGCATGAACTATTGATTTTCGGCCCTGCCGATCCTCCTTGTTCTTGGTCCGATTCAGCTCCCCTCAACTCACTTACGATTCACTTGTAGACATCTTGACTAAAATATTCTCAGTTTACATTCTCTAGATTAAAGGGTCACCGCGAACCATTCCGCATCCTCCACTAATGAGGCTGTTCGAACCACCAGAATCCCTCGACATGCAGAACCAACAAATCATGCATATGCACGACCCCTACCCTCAATATATTCTAGCAATCCAGCATCTTCTGAGATGCATGGACATGCAATCCGGTGGCCCAATGTCGTATCACCAGATATTCAGCCATACAGTGGGCTTCCTGCTCTTGGCAGCATGCAATGCATGATGATCTTTCTCAGCTGGGGAGTGGGCATGCGCTGCTGAATCCTGCTCAGATGTTCTGACAGTATTTAAGCCATTCATGAATCCCTTCCCTTCTTTCAGCCGTCTATCATTCCTCGTCCTCGGGTGTTGATCGCTCAAAATGGCTCCTACATCTCTTTTCTACACACTCTTCTCCTCCCTCACCGTTGCCCTCGCAGCATCCGTCCCTCAAACCGACTATGAGGTGATTGTCGTGGGAGGTGGCCCCGCAGGTCTCACTGCGCTTAGCGGTTTATCCCGCGTAAGACGCAAGACGGCTCTCTTCGACTCCCACGAGTATCGCAACGCTGCGACCCGGAACATGCACGATGTGATCGGCAATGATGGTATGGACAGACCCACCCTCCAATCAAACTTCTTCCAAAAGTATTCACAGGGGCTGGACTAACATACCGTGAACAAAAGGCACTGTACCCAGCGAATTCCGCGGTCTGGCCCGCGAGCAGATCTCTCGGTACGACACCGCCACCTTCATCGACAAGAGAGTCAACACCATCGAGACTGTCTCTGACGAGGCCTCCAACACCTCGTACTTCCGCGCCCAAGACGCTGACGGCAAGGCATACACCGCCCGCAAAGTCGTCCTGGGCACGGGTCTCGTAGATATCCTTCCCGATGTACCGGGTCTCCAAGAAGCCTGGGGTAAGGGCGTGTACTGGTGCCCGTGGTGCGACGGGTACGAGCACCGGGACCAGCCATTCGGTATCCTGGGTGCGCTCCCTGATGTCGTCGGCAGCGTGTTGGAAGTATACACCCTGAACACAGACATTATTGCTTTCGTGAACGGTACGCAGACGCCGGACCAGGAGGCCCAGTTGGCGAAGAAATATCCAAACTGGGAAGCACAGCTGGAGGCGTACAACGTGCGTCTGGAGAACGAAACAATCGCATCCTTCGAGCGTATCCAGGACGGCAGCCAGGTGAAGGACAGGAATGGTACCAGGCAGATTGATATCTTCCGTGTTCATTTCGCCAATGGCTCATCTGTTGATCGTAATGCTTTCATCACCAACTACCCCAGTGAGCAGCGGTCAGATCTTCCCAAACAGCTGGGTCTGGCTATGCTCGGCAACAAGATCGATGCCACTACTAACCCTGGTATGAGGACTAGTGTGCCTGGTGTCTTTGCTGTTGGCGACTGCAACAGTGATAACAGCACCAATGTGCCTCATGCTATGTTCAGTGGTAAGAAGGCTGCTGTCTTTGCTCATGGTATGTTCGGTTTCCTTTCACCTACTATTGTACCATGTTGTTCGATGCTGACCTGCGTGCCACAGTCGAAATGGCCAAGGAGGAGTCTAACGCGGCCATTGACAAGCGTGAGGACTCCGTGGAGGAGATTGAAAAGCGCATGGGCAATGATATGGAGAAGATCTACAACCGGGCCAGAGGACTGTGATCAAGCCATGTGATGGATGACCGTCGACAGTTACTGCTGCTATACGAGACCTCTTATCTACTCTTCCATTCTATGATATAGGTTTAACAATATAATTCGATCTTAATTTAGTCTAGAGGATATTGGAAAGGTACGACCTGGAGCCTTTTACGATTCGGGGCCGTACGTAAATGTATTCGATTAGACTACAGAATCCCTCATCTATGGAACTATTAGTGATTAACAAAAGATTAATAACCTGCAGATATTGTATGGCCCTCCGTCCATACCTATCATGAGCCGATAACTTTTCCACCGCCGTAATTATGTTGCGTATTCCAATCACTTGAGGCTTGCAGAATGACTTGCAAGTCACATCAAGGAGGTTACATTACTCAACCTCCTCTTCCTCCTTAGGGGCAGCCAAGTAAAACCGAGCTGGTGGCTGTCCAGGCCGCTCATACTCAACAGTCAAGCGGGCAAGATGACCAAGCAGATTTTCAATCTTAAGATCACCCTTGTCGCGCCTCTCTCGACCCAGGTCATCAAGCCATTTGAACTTGTTGAGCATGAAATATACCAATGCGATAACAATGGTCACGCCCAGAGAGTAACCCCAGATTCTGACCACAGTGACAATATCAGTCCAGCCATTAGTTGTTTCAACGAATTTGTCGGCGGGCCTGGTGGGCATATTTTCGTTAGAGAACCAACCAAACAAGCAGAAAATGGTTGCCAAAACATCCACTCCCAGAATGGCGGTAACTAGGTGGATTGAAGGCCATGTGTCGGCGCCACGCGTGATGAAGATAAGCCAGTTTTCTGTGAGAGCGACTTCGAGGAAAATCACTTCCTGGATTGAGCCCCAGTTCTGAATAATACCACCCGACGGGAGGAACATAGTGCCGCGAACTACCCATGTTCCTAGGGCAAGCAAAAGGCCTAGCAGGCACGAAATGAACCAGATCTTCGGAAGTTGCCATTGCACAGGCCGCAGCTCAAACGATGCATTATCATAAGCGACTGCAACAGTGGCAAGATCAGCAAATAGAGCAAGAAAGACTACCAACTCGACACGAATACTCTCGTTGAGGATTATCATCGTCGTGACCAGATAGATCTCCAAATGCAAGCAGAGAGCAATACGATATTGAATATATGCTTTCATGCGATGGAATATTTGCCGCGCAACTTTAATCGAATCAATGATCGTTGACAGACCTGGCTCCAAGAAGACAATGTCCGAAGCAGATTGCGCTGCCTCTGTAGCTCCTTCTACTGCAATACCGCAGTCGGATTTCTTCAGCGAAGGCGCATCATTAACACCGTCACCCGTCATCGCCGTGAGATGGCCTCGGTCCTGAAGCATCTGAACAACTTGGTATTTGTGCTCAGGAAATACCTCTGCAAAACCATCTGCTTTTTCGACCAAGTCTCCTGCCATTGCGCCGCTAAGCCCTCCATGAATGAGTTTGTCAGAATTGTATACTTTGGTTCCTAGGGCGAGCATCTTGCAAGTCTCCTTAGCGATGGCTAATGCGTCACCTGTAAGCATTTTGACGCTGATGCCCAGATTCTGCGCCTCATGGATTGTTTGCGCCGTGTCCTCTCGGGGTGGATCGAACATCGGCAGCATGCCGAGGAGGGTCCATTCTTCTCCTTCTTTCTGGACTGCAACTCCCAGAGAGCGGAAGCCTCTGTGTGCAAATTCCTGCGCTTTGGCTTTGTACAAATCGGCGGTCTGTTTAGAACAGTTTGTCAACTGAAGCACTGCCTTGGGTGCGCCCTTGGTGCAAGTATATCTGATTCCATCACAACTGGCGATCGTCACGATACGCTTCGAAACCGGGTCAAATGGTTGAAATTTTTCTGTCTTCCACCCTCTGCGCAGAATCTCCCGTGCCTTGGGGTACTGCCTGAGGGTCAAAATCGTAACCTTGTCAATCGGGTCTAGCGAATCGATGTTGTGAGACGACGCTAAAACTGCCACGGCAAACATCCAGTCGACGTCCACACCTTCGGCCACATATGGGTTTCGAATGCTCAGCTTGTTTGCTGTAAGGGTGCCGGTTTTATCGGAACACAAGACATCAACACCCTGATGAGCCATTAGCATTTTCATACAGACAGAAGCTATTGCTCACAACCTACCGCAAGCGACTCAATTGCAGTAAGCTTCTGCACAATAGCCTTTTTCTTTGCAAGGTATGCTGCTCCTACAGCCATGGTAGTGGTTGTAACAACGGGGAGGCCGACAGGGACGCCGACAATCAACAAAGCCAGAGTATAGTGGAGAAGCGTTTGCTGGCGAGGGGAAGCAATTGGGATATGCCGGAAGAAACCGCCAATCCATGCAGCCAGGATCCACGCCATGACGAGGATGAGAAGCGAGGTGCCGATGTTATCCATGACCTTTTCGAAATGACCTGCACCTTGGGCCGCCTGCACCATGGTCGCGGTTCTACCCACGAACGAGAGCTTTGCAGAGGTTTGTACAACGGCATATGCTTTGCCACGCTTACACCCGGTCGTGTAATAGATCATTTCGCCCATATAACGATCAACTGCTAGAGACTCTCCGGTGATAGCTGAATGATCACAAGCTAGGATAGGATAACCGCGCTTCTTGGGCTTCTGCGGCTTTTCTTCACCACCTTCTTTATTCTTTTCCTTTTCACCTTCAGCTTCTTCAATGTCGGATTCGGACGTGCTGCTCAGGTCGCCCTGGTTTTGCATTGTCTTGAATTCTTCCCATCCGTTTGGATCTTTCACATCGCAAATGATCCGTGCATCAGCGGGGACAACTTGGCCGTCGCCAATTATGATCTGCCATCTGTGTTAGTACCCTAGCACAGGCTTCAGGGAGGTCACTTTGAAATTGCCTAGCATACCACATCACCGGGTACGAGCTCGCGGGCCAGAATCTCCTGTTCCTGGCCATCACGGACGATTGTTGTCTTCATTGCAATATCTCCCTTGAGACTGGCGACAACATCGGCGGCTTGTTTCTCTTGGTACCAACCGACAGCCGCGTTCAGACACAGGATACCAATGATGACACCGAAATCGACCCAATCATCGAGACCTGCTGCAAGGAGGACGGCCAGCTCCATAACTGCGACGGGTCAGTGGCATTAATCTCGCAATGAAATAGAAGGCGCCTAGCGTAAGCCAATCTGACTCACCATACAAGATAGGGCCCCTAAAGTATGACAAGATCTTGGCGATGGGGTTCTCCTTCTCCGACACCAGCTCGTTCCATCCCGCTCTGCGACGCCTATTTTGAACCTCATTGCTGGACAGACCTTGATGGATGTCGGTGAGTAGCCAGTCGTCCGGGAACTGGCCACCGTCGTGGTCCACATGTCGAACAAGAACCTTGCGTTTCTTCCAGGGAGCATACCAGACTCTTCTCACCTCTTCCTCTCCCTGTGTTTCATCGCCTCGACCGCCTTCACGGTAGGTCGATGCGTACTTCACAAGCTTGCCATATTCGTCAAGGTTGGCCCAATCTTCCTTGTAAGAAACTCGGGAGAGACGCCTAGATGCGCGTCCTTCAGAGGTGGAAAGTCGACCCTGAGATCCCGGTGCTTGAGCTATCCGTTCCACGTCATTCGAGGCACCGCCTTGCTCGGCCATCTTGCTCTCGGTTACTTGCCAGATGGGCCCAATGCTTATTCAACCGGCTAAAGGGGGCGAATGGGGCAACCAAAATGAGCGATCCCTCAGAATGACCGAATATACAGCGAACGAGAAGGATCTGCCCTTGTGGGCACTAGTAAGAACAAGAACGCGCAAGGATTTTGCGCTTTTCCCTTCCGCGAGGGCATGGGGGGGCTACAATAACCACCAACGCCATATACAGGGCCAACCCTTGGACGGATTGGGACGGTCATACTACATCCAGACTATCATGCTGACGTAGTAGATCCTAGGAAGCTTCCGGCTAGTCAAGTTGTGATAGAGGCTAAGTAAGGTAGTAGAGGCCAAGCCCATACTGTACTTTGACCAGACAAAAGCTACGTGCACCGGTCGAGGGCGAAAGTCAATTTGTGATATGAATTCGGGACATGGCAGGTTGATTCGACAACTCCTTGATGCTCTTGACGTATGAGACGGTGGTGACCTATCCGAGATAACCCGGTTGAAGTATATCAACGAGGGGCCAGGGAAACATCAGAACTCATTCGCTCCAGCAATGTCTATGCCCAGACATTCAGATACACAACGCAAAGAATTGACTCTAGAAGAACCGCATGACACGATGAGGACAGCCAGGGTTCTAGACCTGATATGCCAGCGGAAAGAGGGCCGGGACCCACGGGAAGACCTGACCAGGAGACCTCCTATAAACGATGACAGATGGTGGGGTAAGCATGGGAAGGAACAAGAGGGAACACGAGAGCTCGGAATCCTTCATTCTTGCTGGCTTATCATCGAGTGCAACCACCACCACGAAAGCCTATGAGGCTATGAGGCTATGAGCCAATGATGAGAAGGATACGGGATATGTTGCGGGGAAAGCGTGGAATTCTGGATGGAGACGTCCAGTGATCGGCGCTAACGGGTAGGAGGGAGTTAATGTGAATGCCTTATTGCCTTAGCCTTTAGGTAACCCATTTTGACACTTCAAAATGTAACCTTAACCGGGATATAAATTTTAATTCCAACCTCAACGTCCTTCCAGTTGACTTCCGTTCCCAACGTTTCCGGTTCATGATCTTACGACGTAATCCTCTCATCATCCACTCTATCATGCCTGGTGTTATGTGGAAATTTCAATCCTACATACCTTCCATGGCTACGTTACGTACCAAGTTACCCTTGATGTTTTGAATTTTGATACAACCGAATCACTCCGACGGTTGTCTGATATCCGAGTTCGTGCACTCATCACTAAAGCCATGCAACTTGGCTCATCAGGTAGTGCTGAACTTACTGCTTGGGGAGACTTTGGGTGCGACGAAGTTTATTTGTCCGGTGTAACTTCCGTGGCTGCGACACCCAGATTACGCCGTATAATCATCCAATGTGACCATTTCGGACTGCTATGCGTAATGGACTTTTTATTTCCAAACTTCTTCTAGCATATCTTCGTGACTCATCCTATGAGCGAGCCCAGCTAAGACTGCACACTTATTTACCGCCGGTCTTTCCCGTAGGGATGTAGAACAAAACAGCCGGCTGGCCCGGTGCATAAGCCTTGTCCACACGGTAAAATCCCTTACGCTCAAACTGGATGATGTCGCCCTCCTTCAACTCGGCAACATTGCAGTCAGCAGTGGCACTCTCCCTGAACTCAGTGTTCCTGTTCAGAACCTCCTCAAGAACATCATCCTCCTGTAAGGTGTCCTTGTTGAGAAGGTAGTCGAAGTCGACCAATTCCACTGGGACCAGGTCCTGGTCAGTAGACAGCCAAGTGACCTTCTTCTCGGTCTTCTTGAAATCACCTTCCAGGTGCAGCTCCAGCTCCAGCTCCTTAACAACACCGGAGCTTGGGTCAGTCACGATCTGGCGCACAATGGCATTGCCCCAGTTCATCAAGGTGATCTCCTCATCCTGCTTGAAGCTCTTGGCATCCTCCTGGTCAAGGAGGATGGAGCCACTGTAGGCGACCTTCTTCGTGCCAACTGAAGGGTTCTTAATATGCTTGGGCTTCTCTTCAGTGTAGGGTGCGGGAGCTCCCTTAATAGTTGTCTTGACAACATCCTTCTGGAGGAGAGCGGTATGGCGGGGTGCAACTGGGTCAATGTACTTCTTGTTTGTCGCCCAGATGAGGGTCCAGTCAAGGTTTGTAATGTTCTTGCTAGGGCCCTGTCTGAGAATGAACTCCCTCAGGGCAGGGATGGTCATGCCTCGTCTTCGGATACCACGGATTGTAGGGAACCTGGGGTCATCCCAGCCCCAGACAACACCCTCGTTAACAAGCTTAGTAAGCTTGCGCTTGGACAGAAGGGTTCGGATGAAGTTCATACGGGCAAAGTCCCAGATCTGCACAGTGCGGAGTTTGAGGGCGTCCAGCATCCATTGGTACTGAGGGTTACGATCACGGTACTCAATGGTTCTAAGAGCATGAGTGACACCTTCAATAGAGTCAACAATAGGGCATGCAAAGTCATAAGTGGGGTAGATCTTCCACTTGGTGCCCGTGCGATGGTGGGGGTCAGGGTTGGAGCGGTAGATAACAGGATCTCTAAGAGCCTTGTTCTTGTCGTCGACAGAGATCTAAAGACTGAGGTGAGAAAGGTTTTCTTGGAGTGAGGATATGAACCTTACATACCTTGGCACGGATACACCATCCAAGACCCTGAGGACTGCCCTTTTTCATTTCCTCGAATCGAGCAAGGTTCTCCTCAACGGTAGCATCGCGACGCTTGCTAGGCAGACCGTCCATTCTCTGCGCCGCCATAGTCTCCTTGTCTGTATCATCGGCGTATGCTTTTCCATCCTTGATAATCTGCACACCATACTCGTAGAGCTGGTCAAAGTAGTCACTAGTATAGCTCATCTTGTCGGCCTTGATACCCATGAGAGCAAGATCTTCAACGATAGCATCCTGGAACTCAGAGTTTTCCTTGGTAGGGTTGGCTTGACAGATGTGAGAAAGCTATTAAGGATATTGTAGGGGGTGGGGTTTACTCACTGTCATCGAAGCGGACAAGCAATGTGCCATTGTACTTCTCGTGGGCGAAGTAATCGTTGAGAAGAGCTGCTTTGGCGTGACCAATGTGGAGGTATCCTGAAGGCTCAGGGGGGAACCGGGTCACAACACCCTTATCAGTGTTCAGAAGCGCAACATCGTAGTTAGCACCGCCTTCCTTGCCCTTGGTAGCCTTCTTTTCCTTTGCTGCGGCATTCAGCGCCTCAAGAGCAGATGTGGCCCACGGACAGAGATCTTCCAAGAAGACAAACCAACGAGTCAAGTTGACAAGAGCTCCCTTTCTGATAGCAGAGACAGCGACACGGTTTCCGCGGAGAGCACCCCACAAGGCAATGTCAGCTGTGGAAAGCGAGTATCCGACGACGAAGGACCGGAGAAGAAGATGGGTATTAAGGCGCTGGAGCAAAGGGTCGAGGGCCTTGAAGTCGAGGGTAGTGAAGGTATCAATCTGGGAAAGCCACTCGTTCTCCTAGTAGCATTGTTAGAGGAATTACCTCAGGCCGTAGAAGGGCAGCAACCATAGACTGCTTGCAGAGATATGTAACGTACCAGCTTCTGATCCTTCGAGTTGAGGAATGGAAAATCCTTGAGCAACTCTTGGACAACGTTCACAGTTCCGAAAACAGGAGTTCCGCTAACACCAATGAACTGAACAACAGCCTTGTCGCCCTGTTCAAGAACAGCCTTATCCTCGTAGGTGATGTTAATCACCGGGGATGGTCGTGCTTCATTGATAGAGGTTGCGACCAGAAGAACAGGGAGCAAAGCTGCCTGGCTGGCCTTTGCGGCCAAGATCAGCTGCATGTTAGACATGATGCCTGCAAATCCACTGGCTAAAAATCCGAATGAATCCGTCTAGACCTTCTGTGGGGAGAAGAGCATCGTGAAATACTTGGAGGGGCATTGACTCAATTGGGGTTCCGCCGGCGTCACATTTCTCCGCCCGCCGCCCGCAAGTCGGAGAGCTCTCGGGCAGAAAACATTCCCTTTCCGCAAGAACACCGAGAAGTCACATCTTATAGCCAACGCAATGGCTTCCTACGGTTCACTCATGCCCACCGCGGCAAGGAGTCTCTTGTCGTCATGCCGCTCTCCGCTTCGCCAGGTGTCAATGGCCCCTCTCCTCTCCAGCTTTCAGCAGGTTCGAGGAGCAAAGAACAATCCTCAAGCACAAGGTAAAAAGAACAAGGAAAAGAGTAAGAAGACAAAGAAGGGTCCTCGAGAGTTCAAACAAAGAGATCTGAAGGATATGGATCAATTCGCGCTTTGCGATGCTATGAGGTACGTATAACGTGTCTTGCCATGCCCGCACCTCACCTTTTTGCTGACGCGGAATCTGTTCTGCTCTCTAGGTATCTTCGTGCGTTCGAAGTCGGGCATGAAGCAGCTACCTCCAAATACGAAGTCCACATCCGGTTGAAGACGATGAAAGACGGTCCAGTGATCCGCAACATGCTCCGGTTTCCCCACTCAGTCCAAACAGAATCACGGATTTGTGTCGTCTGCCCTGCTGGATCTAGGCATGAGAAGGAGGCTCGTGCGGCAGGAGCCGTCCTAGTGGGAGAACAAGAGGTTTTTGATAATGTGAAAAAGGGTATCATTGAGTTCGATCGTCTGATCTGTCACCCTGATAGCTTGGAGGCGTTGAACAGGGCCGGACTGGGTAGGGTCCTCGGTCCTAGAGGACTGATGCCCAGTGCAAAGACAGGTACCGTTGTTGAAGACGTCGCTTCGAGAGTTGAGATGCTGCGTGGTGGTACGGTATACAGGGAGCGAGACGCTGTCATTCGACTTCCAATTGGGCAGCTGGCATTCACCCCTGAGCAATTGCGAGACAATCTGCGCGCCACTCTCGAGCAGATCAAAAAGGATGCGGCTGGTCTCAACGACCGCATAAACAAGGAGATCCATGAAGTGGTAGGCTGGCCTCCACCCTGAAGCGATATGTATCATCCTAGCTGACTATTATTAGGTGCTGAGCTCGACGAATGGTCCTGGTTTCAGTCTGAACGGAGAGTTCAAGTCCGACAATTCCCCCGATACTGCATCTTTGAGCGGTCTGTAAAATAGCTTCAAGTCTTTACGTTTTTGGGTGTACAGATTATGTTATATTAGGAAGGACACGGTGTATAATGGTATTGTTTCATATCTATTCCTGAAGAACCCAACACCCCAAACGCCAACGCTATGCAAAAGCCTGGTTCATGTACCAGACGGGTTCTATGTTTTCAGATTCTTCAGTGCAGATACTGCACTGGTGTCCTCCCCCATGAGTTTGTAGAGACGCAATACGGCCAGCGTTTTTGTATCCCGTTTTTCGCCCGCGATCTTCGCCTGTTCGAGCGCAGTTTTAAGGTCCAAGAGTATTGCAGATCTGATCTTCGACAGTCGCGACTGTTGACTGACCAAGAACGGATGATCGGCGCCTATCCGCGACGACAGTCTTGTCAGATAGACGTATTTTTGAATGTGATGTTCGAGCCTCTTCAGTGATACCAGAGGCGTGGCTGATGCGTCGTTCGGGATTTCTTCATCTCCGCTCTCTTCGCTTTCGCTGTCCAGTAGATCGGAGTCTGTATCGAGGTCCTTAGCATGGTCGCCTTGGCGGGCAGGTGTGGTGTCTCCAATCATCAATTTTCTTTCCAGTTCGTCAACCCGATCGGCGTAATCCAACAAAGCCCTCCCGATATTTGCATTCTTCCGTAGGCGCTTCTTCTCTTCCACCAGTTGCTCTGCCTCTTGATATCGGGCGTCAACCTTATCGCGGATGGACTGGACATCCCGTCGGAATGCCAACAGTCCAACTCGGACTTGCTCTACCTTCTCTTCCCCTCCTTGCAGTGCAATCCCAAGCGACAAGAAATCCTGGTAATTCTCATTCACCAGATCCAGTAACTCCCGACTCAGCAGCTGGTCCAAGTCGCGTAATTCCTGCCGAAGGTCTTCCAGGCTCTGGTGTCGATTTGTCAGGGAGGACAGGTACTTTGCGGGGTCGAAGTCGGGGGCGAGAAAGGAGGAACGGGACAATGGCTCAGGGAAGGGGAGTCCGGAGGTATCGTCGTCGAGGTCGGAGGCAGACTCGTCCGAGTCGCCAAACTGTCGCATTGCGGTTAATCAAAAAGCGACAATGGCGGGGGACCAACGATCAAAACTGGGGTTTTGCATACGCGAAACTTATTCATTGCAATCTTTACGCGTGCAAATGGAGTGATGAAAGAAAGTTTGGAAACGCGCAAAGATCCACCGGGAGTTCGTAAATAATCAGTTGGAAAAGAACCTACTGTGGTGGAGTAGTTGCAGAAGGTAGTTTCGGGCTCTGGGGTAAGTTAGGAGGAGTTGGCCGGAACCCGACCTTTGGAACGCTTTCCCTTTATGGTCTGGTTCCACCGATTCAACCATGTAACGGATCTATCGAGAACGACTAGTAGTATACATCTGATTTTGGGCATGTTGGGACTAGACGCATGGGAGAAAGCAGTATGTATTGAAGCTCTGCCAACGTTCATGTTATACCTGGAAAGTCGCTCTTCGTCGATATATGGTTGTTACAAACCCGAAGCCCCGGCTTTGAGCCCTATCTATAGGGCGGCCGAAAGATGTCAAGATATATCACTAAAAGAGAAAAGAAAACAGAAAAGGAAAATATGAACAATTATATATATATATATATATATAAAAGAGTAAAAAGATATATCTCGCCCTAGTGACTCAAGGAGAGGGTAGAATGTTGTATTTCAGCTACGAATTTGTTTTCACCGGCTAAACTACCAAACTTATTATTATTCGACCAGCGCATGAACTGCATCTTCCCGACAACCACAGTCAATCAGCGTACTATCCGACAGCTCCCGTTCTGCAACAAGTGCGATCATGCTCCCTTGATGTATGCCACCCCCGTTACATTCTTTGCGTGTCTCATTTGCAGCCGTGTCTCCAAGTAATGCATGGCGGCGTGTATACGTGGCTCAGAAACCGCTCTACTACTGTCTGATAGGTATACACTGCTGTTCAACGACTTGCTGCGAACTGGTGTGAGAGTGGGGTTCGTGACCAGATACTGCTGGTGAAGTTACCTACATTATTCCCTCTGCGGTCTCCTGCATCACTTAGTGAGCTCTGTACATACAGACGAACACTGCGTCGACGACAAGTGGTTGCAAATAACCTTGTCCGTACAATGGATTATAAGTCGGGCAGAAGACTGTTCACTCACCCTGATGAAATCCAGTCGTCCTTGTCGCGTCAGAGATGGCCTCGGTTTCCTCTGGCTCACTCCCACCCTGTCGTTGAGACTGCTGGTCCATCTCAGCAAGCAAACTCTTATCGTTATGAGTCAGCTCTGGACGACTCTGCTCAGGCGTATCGCACGACTGCTTTGCGCCACTTGAGTGAAAGTTCCAGGCCCCTCTCTTGGAGTCACCGACAAGTAACTCAAACTAACGGTCGCCATTCGACTTCACCCTCGCAGCCCGTCCTGGTTCGGGCCTATTCCGGCGGCCCCGGGGATAGTACGAAAACGTCAAAGATGTCCCTACGGCGGTCGTTCCCATTCGCAGGCCGCGCTGAAACCCCAAGACGAGGGCCAGAGCTTCCTTCAGACGAGGACTTCAGCATCGATGGCATCCTACGGGCTATTGAACCAAATATTCGCCATACATTGGATTCAATTGGGGAGATCTGTGGGCGGAGTAAGCTCAGTTTAGCCAACGAATATGGTAGCCATATAGCACCGCTAGGCGAAATCCGGGCGCCACCTGGTGGTCTAATGCCCGTGGATGAAGCTAGCTCGGAACATGAAAGACAGGCCACCGACAATGTGGTTATTTATGATGATGACCATAGTGTTATGGACGGGAGGGACCATCCATCATCCATGCAATTTGGGCTCATGGAGAATGCCCGGCACAGTACAGGACCTCGTAACGCAGGATTTCCATCAATGCCATCATTTTATGGTGGAGACGGGTCGTCTGTTCAAGTACACCCTGACACTCCACGATCCATGGGCTTTAGTACGACCGTGGATTCAGAATCCGCGCTGGGGCCACTTCCTACAACACGAGAAATCGCATCTAGGCCAAAGTCATGCGGTCGGGTATTGCTAGCAACGGATGCTGAATCGGGCACTGACGATCGAAGACGACTTATTCAAACACCGGCCCTTGTGTCTGAGGTTCTTCTCGATGCCCAGGCCGATGGACATACTTTGGGATCGGAATCTCATGTCATCCAAAGCCAACCGCTTTTCGGAAACAGCCTGGATCTTGATGTAGTGCGAAGACGTTGGAGTTTGCCGGCGGTAGGAATATCTTTCTTGACGGAAGTCTTCGGTTGGCTGAAATATGCTGTGCGCGATGGGTCGGATTTTGGTCAAACCCTGCCAACAGCTGAGATGAGGCTGCGCGCGATGCTTGCGCGACAGCAGGACCCGGAAACGTCCGGAGTATATGCAAATGATGATTAACGATTTCCTGTTCTCTGGGATGAAATGTATCTGCTTCTATTGATCACGATTGATGATACATGTTATGAAGGATAAGTACTGGATTTGATGATCTTTACAATTAGTTATGACTATGGTGAGATGTGTGATGAATATTTTGTGGAGTTTCCCAGCTTCCGCTGTCCGGTGCCTAGTTGTTGTTTGCAGAAAGATAGTGAGACAGTGAATCAGACACCGCAGTGCCTAAGAACCAATATAAACTCCAATCTCATATGCAAAGGTGGTATAGTAAACATGAGAACAAGCCCTCTAAACAACGAACCCAGACCAGCAGGAACCATGAAGAAAAGAACTAATTCGCCACGCCACCCTCTATCTCAGATAGCAGTGTTTTCGCAAATCCCTCAAACCGGGAATATGACCAACAATCCTTATATCTCTCCACCAACGGCCGCTCATCCACCACATCCTGCTTCTGCTCCGACTGCGTACCATCCTCACCTTCATCGTCACTCTCGTCAACCACCTTCCCCTCCACCAACTCCCCAAACTGGATATCCACAGGCACAGCACCCAGAAACTTCACTCCCGTTTCCTGAGCCATCACCTGCCCCCCGCCGCTCGAGAACAAATTCGTTACCTCTCCACAGCACGGACACGTATAGCCTGACATATTCTCAATAACACCCAGCATAGGAATCTGCGTCTTCACACAGAAATTCACCTCCTTCCGAACATCCGACGTCGCAACCGCCTGGGGCGTCGTAACCAAAACCGCGCCCGCCAATCTCGGCATAGTCGCCGACGCAGCGGCCGGATTCGTGGTTGCGGATCTAAGCAACTGTTCCGCTAAAGCAATATGCTCATCACTCGTGCCAGGGGGCGTATCCACAAGTAGGTAGTCCGTCTCCCCCCAGTAAACATCAGATAGAAACTGTCGGATCATGGCAGTTTTCTTCGGTCCGCGCCAGATGACAGCGTCGCCGCGATCGCGGAGCAGGAATCCCAGTGACATGCAGCGGAGGGAACCTCGTTGTGCGCCGTCGTCTGTGGACGCCGGATGCACCGTTACGGGGACCCAGCCCCCGGGTGCTTGGGTAATCTTTGCATCTTCAAGTCCCACAAGACGGGGGATCGAGGGGCCTGTTAGGTCGATATCGAGTATACCGACTGATTTGCCTTGTAAGGTGAGGGCCAGTGCGAGTTGGAGGGTGACGGAGGATTTGCCGACGCCTCCTTTGCCGGATAGAACCTATGGTTTTGATACATGTTAGTGTCCTCCTTGTTATTATGTCTTGCGCAACTTGTTCATGGTCAATGTGCCTGCTATACAGCCAGCCATCACTTTGTTCTGAATGAGAGGGACCCAGAGACGATCGTTATCGATAAGCGATGAGGGGTACAATTTTTCTTTACTGTTTGTGTCTCTAAAGAAATTGCGTAAGACTCACCAGCACAATATTTCTGACGCCGTCTAGAGGCATTTTGCCGGTAACAATTGTTATTCTCGAGCTTGGTAGGAGGGATATCAGATTCTATGCATAGTTGGTTGAGTTGCTGATAAGATGGCAAAGGCCGATTTCGCCGCGGGATTTCTGCGTCATTCTGCGGAGTGGATTTTTGCTTATCAATCACTGATTGACTTGGAAGTATTCCCATTGGGTGGTCTGTTCGCCATCTCTTTTACTACGTACTCTACTAGCAGTACTACTGTAGATACTAGCATCAGTCGTGATCATCACTCAACATGGATCTTTCATGTTTCATTAGTGCTCTCGGGTGACAAGTCAATGGTCTAAATTGCTTGCCATCATGAATCATCCAGCACCTTCGAGTCTCGTAGAAAACTGTAATATTCTCGACCCTCGGCGTCAGACTTTTTGAAAACAATCGAGCCCGTCCCACCCAACCTGTGTACTCTATAATGGTGGACCATGTGTTAACCCTTCATTGCCATTTCTGTACCACGACGCCTCCTCGCTTGAACTCGGCCAGATCTCCAAGGGTAGCCGTTTTGTCAGTGAGCTCCTTACTGGGGAATGTGGTCATCAGCACCCAGGGACGGCTTTGACTATCCGAACTGGCGGCAGAGACAAACTGATAGACATCACCAATCGTATGCGTAGTGTTGAATCGGGAAGTCAGGCGTGTTCCGTCACCAAGGCGGACCTGGAGAGTGACGATCGGCTGCGATTCATCCACATTAGGCTTGCTAGGGTCTGAGTTGATCTGGCCGGCGGCAGGAGCAGTGGGAGGAGTTGGCGTTCTCACACCCGGCGTTGGGCTTCCGAGACGCTGTCCAGTACCAGCGAAAGGCTTGTATTTCGGCTTTGGCTTCACATATTTTTCCTCATGCTGTTTGATCTCCACATCGACCTCCTGACCCGGCTGCACATTCATGATAGAAAGGGGAGCGCGACCCTGGCGAATGCCATCGAGAATTTCTGCGTTTCGGGGGTCGTCAGAGTGGTAAAGATCACCGTCGTCCACGGAGAACCCATCAGCCCAGAAGTGTAGTGTCCGCTGAACGCGCTGTGGTAGTCGCGCGGCAGGTTCGTTTGGAACATCGATGACCCGACTGGGGGTGTCATCGCCGCCGAGCGTGCGAGCGGGACCTGTAAAGAAAGACCGTTGGGGTTCCGAGTTATCAGACGCTGGGACCTGAGACCTAAGAGATGTTTAGCCTTTACGACCTACAAAAGTCTGCTTTACGGAAGCGCCCTGACTAACCGTTTTGCTTTTTCGATGATCTTCCTCTTGATATCATCGGGGTTCTGCACAGCTAACCCAGACTTTTCACCCCCAGCAAACAGATCCCGGTTGACTGCGTCATCTTCCTCTTCCGAGTCATCACCACCGCCGGAGGAGAAATCACCCAGCGTCGCGAATTTCTTTTTCGGGGCAGATTTGCGTGATGTGGAAGATTGTTGGGGGGGGAACGATGGTGACTGAGAGGAGCTGCCAGCTAGGGACCGGCCTGTGGACGGCACCGATTCGCTTTCTCCAAGAGTCTGGCCAGCACCTGTGTTTCCCTCTTGTAAAGCTTCATCTTGTTCGGCAAAGAATTCAGTCACCGCAGCCTCAAGATCTCCTCCATTGGCTGCGAGGTACTCCTGTGCCTTTGAAACAATAAAGTTAGCGGGGGGTAGATGCATGCGCGAAAGGGAAGAGAGACTTACTTGCTCAGGGCGTACCCCGGTCATGGCACAAAACTGAGAGACGTCCTCATCTTGAATGGTAGGATTACGCTCCATGCTGACGGTATCTTTAAAAACCCAGCAGCTTGTAGCGTTGTCAGGTAATTTCTGTAAGAGCGCGGGGGTATTTGTGATAAGGCCAGGGTACTTGAAGGAGGGACTAAATGAGGGAATCCAGGGGAATGGAGTGCAAGATATGCGAGATGATGCTTAGTTCATCTCCGAGAAAGCTGAAGAACAACAATTGAGGGACCAATGAGGTACGTCACTGTTACCTGATTGGTCATCGGAAGAGGGGATCTTCCACGGATGCCTCAGGAATCAGTGGGGGACATGCATTTCATTTCAATTTGCCTTCCATCTTGGGAATGAAGTTCGTTCTTCCCATGGTTGGAAATGTATGCGATATATCTTTGCCTACCCAGCACACATCAACAGATGTGGATGTACGACTTGGTGCTCGGCATTTGCTACGATACACAGAACTACTACAGGTGGCATCTCAATCAGCACCTCCAGTGTCCAATCATCGCGGTTTGCTCCATTGGGTCCCATCGTAACTACGGAACCGATTGGAGAGTATTATAATTGCTCAACTTTTAGCCTAGGAGTAGTACTGAAGTGACGCAACAAATCATACAATGTACCCTGTCCGGTGAGGCGTCATGATAAACTGAGTAGAAATATGGCATTTCTTCCATCGCCAGCTATGACCTTTAAAGAACCGTACCATAGCTGATTGATTAGTTTGGTGTTTCGTTGAGTGCCTGATTACATAACCGGTCAGGTGTATCCAAGCATCACATCCTACTAGTAGTAGGTAGTTCATGTATGACGAGGAAGGTATTAGATACAATTCTAGCCAGGTCAACAAATCCTGAACCTCCATTACCTAGGTCATAAAGGGCTTAGAATCCGAACCCGTCTCCTTGAAACATCCTTCCAAGCCAAAATCACGGCCACCTCCCATTGATCTTCCCCCTACGACCAATCTCCGATCCGCCCTCGTTGAACGGCGCGTTCTTCCTTTACCCCCGCATCATGGCTTCGGGTGACCACACAGGCTCGAGCGTCGAGCTCTATGAATCTGGATTGACCGTCCGCTCGGACTCGGAGAATTATTCGGCCAACAATGAGCTATCCGAGTCGACGTCAAGTTCTCCTCTGATCCTCTACAAACCTCCTACGATCTGGAGTATTTTGCGAGGTGCCGCCATCAACCTGGTTCTCCCCTTCGTGAATGGACTCATGTTGGGATTTGGTGAATTATTTGCACATGAAGCAGCCTTCCGCCTAGGATGGTCTGGCACAAAGGTACTGTTGTTACCTGATCAGTTTCTGCTGTTCACCCCTGCCTGCAAACGGGGGTCCTACATACCTTGAACAGACCAAGCTAATACTATAATATTACTACTAGATCTTCCCTACCTATCGGAGAACAGTCGGTCCTGGTGTGGAGGTTCGAGAAGTGCCATCACGGAGGAATACTAGCTTGTGAGATACGGCGTCGTTGGAATAAGACAGGTGCTGGAGCTCACTATCAGACTCCGCAACCGCGCTCACACTGAAAAGCACAACAACAGAAGCAGAATTCTTAGCAAGATTCTTTGGTTATCTTTTCCTACAGCATGAAATGTATACGTTGGGGATTACAAATGTACATAGATCCTAAGGCATGAGTAGTACTTGTTCTGTCTGACTGGATGGCGTCTGGCGAAGCACCTCGAGTTTGGCATGAGAGCGATGACTTAGCTGCAGCTGTACAGCCTTCTGATTTAGCAACAGCTAGTCTACCATCCTCATCATCATCATCATCATCATCTCATTACTTTTTTGGCCGATATAATGTACCATTTATATAAACAAGCCGGTAAAAGCCTGGGGTTCTCCGGCCGCCCGGCAGAAAAAACGGGCTTGGCGCAAAAAGTCCGATCAATCGGCCGTTGTCGCGCTTCTTCCCTTCAGGAACGCTATTCCCAGTCCGTAATTCGACTTTTGTCTCTCCGTTGGCTCTAACTGCAATGATGCTGGGAGGAGCTGGCCTGAAAGGGCGTGGCGCTATGCCTGCCATTGCCCGGCAGCGATTGACTGCCTTCTCACGCTCCAGTCGATCGGTTCGTTTATCGGGATGCGTTCTCCTCCGTCGGCAAATACTAAACATTGACAGATGTCTTCATTCCGTTCCTATGCCCCGGGATTCCCTGTGCGATATGGGAGACTGAACCAATCGCTTGCAGGAAACCTGTCCTGGAGGCCTGCCTCCTCCATTCCTCATGCGTCGGCCGCACGATTCAATTCCACCGCTGCCACTGCTACTGCCTCTGCTTCCACTGCAACTGCTGCAACCGCTGTAGACACAGCCGCACCCGAACAAGCAGCCGATCTTTCTGACTTTGACATCACCGCCATTCCTGAGAAGATTGGATACTTGAAAGACCTAGGGCTCGACTATGGCTGGGGCCCTTCGTCCATGATTGAATACTTTATCGAGCATTTCCACATCTGGGCTGGTCTGCATGGTGGGCTAGTATTGTTGGAACCGGCCTTTTGGTCCGTTTGGCTCTGCTGAAACCAATGCTTAGCGCAGCGGATGTCTCCACCAAAATACACAATCTGAAAGACGTCGTTGCACCCCTCCGAGCCAAGATGGCGCAGGCTGCAAACGAGAAGAGACATGCGGACATGATGCAAACGAGAGCGGAGCTGCAGCAACTCCACAGTGATCATGGCGTTAAGTTCTACAAGACAATGATCCCATTCATTCAGCTTCCTTTGGGTTTTGGCTGTTACAGAGTTGTCAAGGGAATGACTTCCTTGCCAGTGCCCGGATTGGCTGTGGAGTCTGTTGGCTGGATCAAGGATCTCACGGTTGCGGATCCGTATTTTCTGCTTCCAGCTGCTACAGCATTTGCTATGTATCTGTCTTTTAAGGTATGACCGGGTATGCCTCTATACTCCGCAAGGTAAAGCTAACTGTTATCACAGAAAGGTGGAGAGAACGGTATGAACCAAATGGCGAACTCACCCGTCGGCAGAGCTGTTCTGTACGGAATGCCTGCCCTTTCTTTTGCGTTCATGTCCTTTTTCCCTAGTGCCCTTCAGCTTTATTTCCTATCGACCGGTTTGTTTGCTCTGGGGCAGGCGTACATGCTTTCCTCTAACAGCTTCCGGCAATTTGCCAACATTGCCATCCCCAAAAAGCCGGCAGAAGCTACCGGAATGTCGCCAGAGGAGCATGGCCGAGCGATCCGCATGATCCTCGACACCCAGGAGGCGGATAAAAAAATGGAAGTGCCTACAGTAGAGGTGGGCCAGGCCCAGAACCTTAGCTTCGTCGACCGTACACTCAATAGTGTCAAAAAGAATTACGATAATCTTACAACTGATGTGAAGGGAAAGCTAGACTCGGCGATGGGCAATGAGCCCAAGAAGAACGCAGACGGATCACTGGCCGAACCCCCTCGGCTCAGCGAGAAGGACCGCAAATTAGCGGCAGACTACGAACAGAGGAGGAAAGAAGAAGAAGACTGGAAACGGGAGGAGAGAAACCACGCGCGGCGAGAAGCCCACCTCAGAGCTCTGGAGCTTGAAAGAGAGAAGGCCCGTTCCGCATTCAAAAACTCCAAGCAAAGGTGAGCACGAGGTTATGCCACATAGTCGGCCATCTACATATCGAGACTCTTTTTCATTGTATAATATGGCGTGTACCATTCAGCTCTCTGTTTTTTATGTGTTACTTAGAATGAATTCCGATCAAATAGAACGTCCACCCTTTTGGGCTGTTTCTCAGTTTTGGATGCTACTTCTTCACAGGTCGAATGCTAGAGCCAACGCTTGATCCATCCTTTTTTTTAGCGGCAACAATACTATCGTCCAGTACAATATACTACACGAAAATGCTGGAAATTCAAACCTTTTCAGAAAAGTAATAAGTCCGTTGTTGCATGACGAAGAACTCACTGGAACATGCCCGACCTCGGCCGACCATTGGGTAGAGAACGATTAGGGGAGCTGAGTCTAAGACTCAAAGTAGTCCACTGAGGACACCATTTCCATGCCCAGTTCTTTGACCAAGAGGGCTGTTTCAGGACTGGCGAGCTTTCTCTAGGTAATGTTAGTGTCCGGATCTTCCTTCGGATTCGTTCCCTGGTCATACCGTGACGAGATCTTTCAGATGTGGGTAAAATTCCTCAACCTTCAGCTCAGCGCAAACCTGTCGCCGATCAGGATCCACTTCAAATCAGCATGCAGAATCCGCTTTACGGACCTTGACAAGGCCATCGCTGAAACTGGCGTGTGGGTAGAGAGCAAGTTCTGCTCTAGCAAAAGCGTCTTCGCGTTTGAGGAAATCCTCCATTTGCGCCACTTTCTCCGAGAATGATTTAGTCTCTAACATAAAGCGTCTCATCAACGTGGCAGAGGACACGTCAAGGCTGATAGTAAGCCCGTAGCCACAGATCTATGACGCGGTTAGGAGGGTCTCAGCACTTAGGGCTGACTCACGCTGGTGAATTCCATGAATTGCGCGTATGACCGGGGAAAGGCCTCGATCACAAACACACTCTCGTGTGCGTTTAGATGCTTGAATATTTCTATCTTCAAGAGAAGGCTGACTATACAGTCGGGAACAGCTCCGTTCTCGTCCATAGAGTTTTTTACTGCAAGCCACTCATCCTCTGGGCCGGTGATCCCTAGACGACTAATGATCCCGTCGGGATCAAGATGGATAAAACCCAGATCTGCAGCAAGCCTGGTTGCAATAGTACTCTTGCCCGAGCCCGGGCCTCCTGTGCATTAATCAGATGAGGCCCTTGATGCTGGGGCACACAACTTTCAGCTTACCGATCAGGAAAACCACTGTCGCGACCTTGCGATTATGCTCTGGGTCCGATATGGGCGTTGTTCCGAGCGGGATTGTGGCCGTCTCTTGATGACACGCCGGTTTACTGTAGATCCGGATGCAAGCCTCCCGGAGCCCAGAAAAATGCACAGTCGACCAGAAGCGTCGGACGGCAATTATTTTACTGACTGGGTAATTAAATACGTTGAGCAGCAGCTGGGAAAACACGGCAATGAAAGATTGCAACAGGCAACCAAGCGGCGTGTTTGCCATTATGTGAATGATGGATACCACAGCGCATGCAGTATAAGAAGGCCAATGTGAAGTCCTTATTTGCTGTGATGAGTTTCATGTGTGGTTTACACATCCTTGCTGACTCGTTGCTTAGTCGCCTTGACAATGACTGTCATGATAGTGAAGTGCCGAGAACAGAATCCTTTCATTGACCTCTTCTTGCCAGCTTCTTTTGTTATCTCACTCTCATCGATGAGGACACTTAGGTACTACCTCTTAGTTAACATCTGCCCCGATATTGTTCTCTTTGGTGAGGATACAAACCATAATGTGATGTTTTCAACAAAGAACTGACTGACTGGGTATAGGAATAAGGACTTCAACGATTACCAGTGACATGTACGACAGGAAAAGCCTGATAGATGGCTAAGCCTTCCCCTTACCCCGTCCAGCTCATGTATAATGCCCAGACAAATCTAATGTTTATCCAGGATGGATCTTGAAGGCGAATACCACGGTTATTTGGTGCAGTGGCTCGAATTGCTCGTCTCCACCATCATAATCATCCTTCTAGTGGAGGTCATCCGAAGGGGACTTATTCGTCTCGATGATCAACGTGCACGCCGTCATAGACAGAATGCCAGGGAGCCGATTGCGTTTAGAATCATCCATGTTTGAATGGCTGTGGCACTACTCCTGATTCTGTTGCGAAGTGCCCTGGTTGGTATCGTCATGTTCCGTATGGTAGGTTTTTAGTGTATCTCTTCTTCTTGTTCTTGTTCTTGTCTAAATGTTGAGGCCAACGGGAGGCTGATCCGATTGACAGATAGGGCTGATGCCTTTCTACCTTTTGGAGAGATGCTATTCGATAATTTCATGGATTGAGTGGAAGGGATCCGAGAATGGATTGGTCGGAATGCCTTTTGGCCCCCAAGAATAAACAAGCAATCCTTTGGAATCTAAATGCAAGGTGATTGGATGTCACATAGTCAAGCCTTGAGAAATGCACCAAGCCATCGTAATTACCAATACCGACGCGAATGAAGATCTTCCCATCCATTACTGGAATCGCGATAGTTTCCCCTCCGATTGGCAAATGCTTCATGCACGCCCCGATTCAAGCGTCAGCTCAGCATAGAATCGCTAAGCGCCTTCTCTCCTCGCTTTCAGATAATCTGACACTAAATAAATTTGACAGACAACCCACCCCCACACCTCGACCGGGGTACCGACTCTGCCCTTCATGCCTTCCCATGCCATCGTTCCCATATATCAAACCCCAAAAACAACCAGCATAAATTAATACCTCCCTAATATACGCCAGCCATGAATCATCCTCCACGTTTATATCTCCTCTTCCTCCTCTTCCTCATTCAATCAGTACACAGCGCTGAAACATGCTACTGGCCCGACGGCACACCCGCAACAGAGGACGTCCCCTGCTCCGACGAGAAGTACGCTTCCTGCTGTCGCTCCGGGAATCTGTGTCTGTCGAATAACCTGTGTCTCAACGTCGCCATCCAACCCTACGTCCTGTCCCGGGGCGCCTGTACAGATCCGAACTGGAACTCGGAAAATTGTCCGCAGTTTTGTAGTATGTCTTTCTTGATCCCGTCCTCCAACATACAGAGATGTCTACCTATAACGTATCCTCGAATGCCATCATATTTTCATGCCAGAGTCTAAAGCAGACTCGCGCGCAATATATCCGATACACACTAACAAATAATAACCCCCAATAGCAAACGTCTCCCGCAGCTCAGGCTCCTCTCTCTTCCCACTGGGACTCAACAGTAACAAACTAGCCGAATACTGCTGCAACGAGCCCGTCAGCAACGGCTCCGAGGTCACCTGTAATTCTGATTCGGGGAGTCCCTTCTTTGTCCCGGACGCTACCCTCGTGGCTGGGTATGCGGCGCTTGCGAACGTCTCGTCGCTGAGTGCGTCGAATACCGTGTCGAATAGCACGTCGTCGCCATCGCCATCATCATCGTCGTCGCCGTCCTCCTCCTCCTCCAGCTCGAACTCAAGAGAGGTCGCCATTGGGGCGGGCGTGGTGTGCCCTTAGGGGTTATTGCTCTGGGGGCTATCGCTTGGGCACTTTGGGAGAGGAGGGCTAGGGCGAAGGGTCTTGCTGCTGCTGCTGCTGCTGGTAGTGGTGTTGGGGCTGGAGGTTGGGTTGGGGGGAATGGGGCTGTTACCTCGTCCGTGGCTGGAAGTAATTCATTATATGGGATTCAACAGCGTGAGACGGAGCAATGGAAGAATCCTTCTGGTCCTGTGGAATTGACTACATCGGGTAGGACGCATGAGTTGGCGTCCTGATTTATTACAAAGGGGGGGGGGGGTGTGTGGATGTTCTAACTTCCATTCGTGGCCGTCTCATGCCAAGAGAGAAGCTCTTCCCCTCAGTTGATGAATTAAATGTTATATTATGTCATTAAAGATCTAATATGTACTATTATATTGAGTCGCTGAACGTGAGGAAATTCCGGAAGCACAGCGTATCCCCTGACGCAGAACTCGGTTAAGGAAGCTCGGTTGGCCTTGTTGCGCTGATTTTTGACTTGGGAGTGCGGATCAAAGGATGCGATGCTATCTCTGGTATAACCAGGAGCGGGTCGGTGGGTGCCACTGTTCATATGTATGCTCCATAACAGGTGATTCCCAGATCGATTGACCGGCCGAGCATCGCAAGGAAGGCGCCGTGGGTGAGTGTATCTTTTCAGATGAGAAGACGATAGATGCTCAAGTCCCAGGCACTGAAAGTCGCAAGACGACCATAAGTGTGTTTCGGAACCCAAGTGATTCGCCCTTCGTAACGTCATAGAGAGATCTAATCGAGAAAGCCGTGCCCTTTTAGCGGAAAATTCGTCGCCCGCCAACACTGCCTGCTCCCCACGTCACCGATCCCCGAACTCCCAGATTGCCCATACTCAACCCGGAAAACCCGACACCGCCTCCCTCTCCATCCCGTTTCCAGCGTCGTAAAGCCTCTCGCAAATGCGACGGAAGTAGTTGTCCCCGGTGGGGATTAGGAGGCATCTTGAATACCCGCTCCCGTGTAGATTGTGCAGTGCCGTATACCGACTGCTGCGGACTTGCTACACCGGATGGAACCGGTGTCCCGGGGGCACGTGTGGACGGGAAGGACGAGGGATTCGAGGATTCTTGTTTCACCAGAGGTAGTCCGCCGGGCCCCGGCGTACCGGGACCTGGAGTGCCAGGAGCCGACGCATTCGCAGCTCGCGCCATTGTCGCGGCCTCTTCAGCCTCAAAAGCGGCTATCGCAGCCTGATCGTGTGCCTCCGCCCATTCAGCCTGCACCGTCCGAGCCTTTTCAATGATCTCTCCTGCAAACACCTTCGTAAACCCGTTGATCGTAGTCACCACACTCGCCGGCACGGACTGTGATAGCGCATGATTCACAATCCGTCGCAAGGTCTCTTTCCTCAACTTCGCTCGTTTAAACAGATCGTACCGCTCGGACTGTAAAGGATTAAAAGCATCGACCAGCAATCTATACTAGCCAGTTAGCATCTTCATCTTGGACAGAGCAAAAAATAAATGGTTGGAAGACATACGCAAGATTTTTCTTCTCAGCCTCCGTATCCGTAGCCCCTTCCTCTCTTCCCAACAGTTCCCCTTCATCCTCAAAATCCTCGTCATCATCTCCATCATCCCCACCTCCACCGCCCGTTGCACCTGCTCTCACAGACCCCTCCGCATCAACGGACGACCGCATCTCCCCTCTCGCCGCATCCTCCTTCTCGCGCTCCTTCTCCGCTTTACTCTTGCGCCCGCGTTTCTTGTTCCGAAATACACCGTCCGCACTCGTGCCTCCCAGACTCCCAGTGAAACTGCCCGTCACACTGCCTGCATCGCTAGCAGCGCCATATGCGCGCGAATCCGCGTCGATAGTTGTCGGGAAGGAAGTCTGGCGGAGCGGGTGCATGCGTGGTCGTTTAGGGTTGGTGCCGAGAGGTTGGGAGGCGGAGGATGAGATCGAGGGGCGTTTAAGGGGGTTCGTTGGCGGCGGTGATGACATGCTGAGTTGTTCCCTGTTGATTTGGGCTCTATGTCGGTTTCGGGGGTGATGTGTTGGAGCTTATGGAGATCGCTCACTTGGTGTTGTTGACTTAAAAGTTGAGGTATGTATCGAAGGTTCACTATCAAAGGTCCGATAACTGATTTGACGCCTGGGGACGCTAGTCCTCTTCGGGTAAGGCTGTGTGCCTAGGGTATCCAATATGTACGTACATACTACAACAAGATCTGTAATGGATGTGAGAGTCATGAACTGAATCTAGGTGGTTCAAATGATAGGCAAGATGCAAGAACATATTAAAAAAATATGTTAGGGTTCAAATCCTACTATCAGCCCTAGTTCCATCGGTGAATGTCATGGTCAAGGACCTGAGCGTCTGTCTGCCTACCGTGAAGCATCGATATGTATGTCAATGGATACAGAAGATATCCACCAGCGGGAGAGAACCTACAGAGAGAGAGACGACAAGGGGGGATGGCTACTTCTAAACCAAGTCGTATTGGAACTCCCATAAACGCGAAGAGCACCGGAAGGGATTGTTGCCGCTACGGAAAAGATCATGAGTGGCTGGTTTATCTTTGTTCAGGCCATGATACTCAATGAACGTCAGAATAGTAGGTTGAAACAGCAAAAGCTCCACAGAACTGGCTCAGTAATAATCCAATGAAGCAAGAAATAGACATGATAGGCAAGAGACAGTGGTAACAAAGCAATTTCAATTCCGATGAATCAACAGATCGCACGACGGATGGATTGATGCCCCTTAGATGCGCTCTTCTCCGAGTCGAGGAGCCCCCCCTTTCCAGTCAAGCCGCTCATAGTAGCGGAAGACAAGGTCATAACCATCCAAATCGTGAACGATGCGATCCACACGACGGTATCCTTCGATGTGCTCCATTTGAGACTTCCGACGGGCCGCCTGCCGTTCGATATACTTGGCCTCGCCGATGCCGCTCAGCTCGGCATCACTGGGCTTGTTCTCAAACAGAGTCACAGTGAAGCGACCCGGCTTGAAGATGTTTACCACCTGCTTCACAATACCCGCAGTGGTCTGACCGTTCTGCGAGTGCGGCACGTTGGTCTCAAAGGACGCATAGGAGCAGTGAGGCTCGGGCGTCACATGCACCGTGAAGTAGTGGGTATTGGCCTTTGGGTCCGGACTCGGGATGACGCCGTTGGCAGAGAAGCCGCAGGGTGTGAACAGATAGGCGTCAATGCGCGACTCGGGGAACATCTCCTTGGAATAGACATCCGAAAGACCGCAAGACTCGGACACAACAGTTCCCAAGGCGTGACCCTCCGTAGTCAGTTCCGGTGGCAGAATGCGAGTTCCATCCGTGTCCTCCAGATCCATGTCTGAGTTGTTGCTGAACACATCGACATGGTCGCTGTTGTCCTTGTCGAAGTTGCGGTAGCGCTTCTCAGCAACAGCGGTGGCATTTTCAAGATAGAACTGCTTGGCATTCTCTTCATCCAAGTCGGTCATCAGCACCTCAAGGGTCTCATCGTTGGCATCATCTCCCCGCGGCAAACCACCTTCCGGGATCTGGAGGAACTTGGTCTCCGTAACCTCCTCATCACCCTTAGGACTGGCCGGGGGCGTGAGCAAGGTGTTTGGTTCGGTCAGATACAGGTACCAATGCTCGCCGTTCATTTTGCCAATCATGTAGGCGCTGCCGTTCAAGAAGAGCCTATCCATAGTTCGCACTTCGTCCCTCCAGCTGCGGTGGGGACCACGCTGGCGGTCCGGGAACAGGAAGTTCTTGCGGCTGTAGAACACCCGGTACGGGGCAGCGGCAATGCCAACCCCACCGGAAGGAGCCGCGGACTTGGGGAAACCGGCGAACAGAGCAGCAATCTCAAGAATGCGGGGCAATCCAGAGAGCAGAGTGGTGGTGCCGCATGTTTTGAGGATGAGCTTGTGAGGCCAGACGAACATGCTGGACTCTGACAGAAGGTACGCATCAACGTCCTCGGACGAGACGATGGAAAGCACCTGGCAATTGACAAGATCCAGCATGTCCTTCCAGACCTCCTCTGGCACTGCCTTTAGGCCGGTAGGTTGAGACGAGCCCAATTCATTGGCGGACGGGGCAAACCAGACCTCTAGAAGCTTTTCGGGTCCTGTTTCTCATTAGATTTTGCATTGCAGGGCCGGATCACGATCGTGCACGACGTACCTTCGAAGGCGTTGGTAGAATCAAGATCCTGTGTCACCTCGTGGTTGATGGTCAGAGACGGGGTCGCCATAAACGAAGATGGCGACTGCGTATAATTCTTGGGAATCCCAATGTAAACCATCTTGACTAATTAAGAGATTGAGAGGCGAACTGGTGACAATAGTATGGATTTGGGGTGTGCAGTCAAGCGGCGCGCTCGATTCGTGGACCGTAGACAAGAAAGCCTAGGAAGCACTGTCTGCTGCCCAGACGAACAGGGGGGGATGTCCGCCTGAGAGAGAAGGCCCTGAACGAGTCGGGCGAAAGTGGCACACAGCCAGAAAGGTAGGGTTCAGCACAAGCCTTGAAAGGCTGCTAGGGAGGGCGAAAAGAGAGGGAAAGGAGGAAAATGCCTCTGGCGAAAGGAATGGTGACTATCAGTCGTAAACCCTCGTACTGGAAGATACCGATACCGGTAAAAGTATCGGGTCTAGCAGACGAGGATATCTGCTTTTTCTAATGTGAAATAAGGGAAGTTGGAGAAGAGTGGGAAGGCGTGAGTCGCGTTATCGGGGCCTGGGTGCCAGTGGGATTAGCATTGCATCCACCACCCAAAGACCGTCACCACCAGGGAGAACCTACTTCGCAGGCTTGGACAGGTATCGCAGTAAATCCTTCGGGCTCATAGAAGGCTAAAATGCAATAGAGCTCAGAGCAGCAAGTTGTCGCGGGACGCTACGAGTCTGGACATCTGCAAGCGCTCACTGAGGAATTGCCAGAGATGGGAGACTCGGTTGTCAATTGCGCCAGCGACGAGGAGAGAAGAAGTGCAGAGCACCGGTGGACTCGAAAGACAGAAATTTATGTTGACGTGGGGTTAGAAGGCGTGCAGGTTGAATCCTGATATTTATTGCCCTCTTTCTTAATTGCTGTTCGGTGTGTGGGCCCGAGAAAAAGTCGTGGGGCGCAAAGCGACGGGAGTGGTTGACGCTTTTCGGTTTAGTTCCAGGTTGGGTTGGGCTCGTTCGCAGAATCCGAGAGAACGAACGAGACCGAATCGTAGTACTAAAATAATATTGATCTCGTTTTTCTTCGAGTCACTCGGTGTACCGTCTGAACTACGAAGAGAGCAAGTTCAGTGTTTTCAACTTCTCGTCGGTTGGGAGTTGAGTGGTAGAGGAGGAAGAAGATCGATCGATACCTGATCTTGAAGAGTGGAGGAAGCAGAATGAATTCCTGGTCGTGCGACACTTCCTTGTCCTTTTTTCTTTTTTTTTTTGTCCTTCATTTCTTCTGGTTTTTTTATCCCGTTCTTGACGACCCCCCGCGGCTTAGGCTCCCAAACCGGGGGCGGTGAAGAGGGCGGGCTGAGTCAGCCGGAAAGTGACGTCGGTCAGGAACGCGGAGAGACCGAAATCCAATCCCGTTTACTCGATCGATGGATGTAGTATCAAAAGTGGCGGACGTGCAGATGGTCCTGTAAGGCTCAACTGCACCCAACAAAACCCCTTCAATTAAAAGGCTCACTATAATAATAGGTACGGTGTACTATCCACCACTGGAGAGGAGATCCAATGGGAATATTCGTCTCTGCCCGGAATAACTGAATCAATCATGAGATTTAATAATACAAAAAAAAAAAAGTCAAATGCTAACTAAATGGTATGTATGATTTGAACATCAATCACGTCGCTCTCCCCAACGCCGAAACATCAAATAATCTCTCCATCCCACCGCCAATGTTATGGGCTAAAAGCATACAAGTAATCCGAATGAAAAAAAAAAAAGGAATGATGACAATAATGACGGGTCAAAAAACAATAGTTTTCAGCCAAAGAGGGGGCCTAAGAATTTACAATTCCAAGATCGCATGCACCATGTCAACCTCCCCCGCTTCGCTGATCTTGGCTGCGAGAAATTCTCCCACTTTGCCATTTAGGCGCCCGCGTAAATCCTCTGTGACGACGCCATTATGCCCATTGGCAAGTGCCGTGCGTCCCTCACGCAAAGTGCCGAGGACCCCAAATAGCACGGTGAGCACTTTCTCTGCTTCGGGCCGTCGCGGATTCTCTTCCGCCATACCGTCTTTCAGTAGGGCTCCGTAGGTCGGGAGGTTAGGCAGGATCAGAACCCGCACGGCCTCCGCTCCCCCAACAGCCTGGAGGCCAATGATGGCTCCGTAGTGTGCCCCGAACGGCTTCGATGGGTCCAGGAACGTTTTCAGGCACGACCGAGCTAACCGTGGCTTGAGCGTGTGTGAGGAGTGGGAGTACTTTTTGGCAATGAGGCCCAGAAGAGATGCGGCCAGCTCACGGAGGGCGAACTGTTCGGACAGGTCCGCATTGCCTCCAAGCTGTCGACCAATCAGACTGGTCAGGATGGGAGGAACAAGAGATGCAACCTATGGCATCCACACATTAGAAAGCCTGTACACACGGTAAAAATCCAAGGCACACTCACATAGGGATCTACGTAGAGCGATTTATTCTGCACCAGAGCCTCCGCCATGCGCATCACCTGAGTCAGGACGAAAATATCTTTCAGGCCATGCGTGACCTTTTCAGAGATAAATTGCACAAAATATGGCACGAGTTGATGAAGTCCTGGGTCTTCCCTTAGGCTCGAATAGGCCGACGTTCTATACTCCTCGCTAGACTCGTCCAGGAAGGCGTTGCAGACCTTTTCGAAGTAAAGTTGTAGTTCCTTCGATAGCACATGCTTGACCAACGGCTTGACGGCAACATTCCCACTGCCGCTCATTGCCGCCAGGGTAGAGTTTGCATTAGGACCCTTGGACATTAATTCAAGGTTTCTCGAGTCCGCCGAGGTAGGATTCTGAGGGATCGACGGCTGTACACCTTCCACGGCCAACCAATGTGCTAACGAAAAGTCAGTGAAACATCCACACACCTTTAGCAGAAGATGCCAATTACCAGTGAAAGAGATCTCCCTCGGCACCTTCGGCAACGGTGCATTAATCAACTTCTCAAAATCCACCTCCTCATCCTCCACGTAGAATAACGGTTGCCCTGGGCCCAGCGACGCTTCCCCGAACCGCAGCGGCCTTGTGGATTCATATCCATACAATGGCTCCACATCGAGCACGCGCAGAGCTTGCGCGATGTCCTGTGTCGTGAGGAGAGTGCGGCGACTGTGGCGCATGAACTTGAGGGCTTCTTCAAGCACCTGGGCGATACGATATTCAACGTCGCGGGCGAGGTTCTCAGTTACATCGTTGTTGAGGTTGACGATGCCGACGGACTCGGCCACGTCGCGGATATTATCAGGATTCCACACGGACATTTCGAGTTGTCTGGAGCTGCTGGTCTGACGGGTTGATGGTAGGCGCGTGAATGACGAGGCCAGACTCTAATTAATTAATGGAAGTTTGGGAGTGGCCTGCGATTCTAGAGAGTGATCGGATTATCGCAAGAAGTGAGAAGGGTTGGTGAGAGTGAGGGGCATTCTGGTTGAAACCACCAAAAGTACGACTGCCGTGTATAGCACGCGAACGGTAATCAGCTTGTGGTCCCTGACAAGCTTAGGATGAGCTTCGGAGGTACTATGAAGAAAGCGAGCGGAATGATGGGTCTCGGTGTTACGATGTTCCTCCCACCGCCTTCGCTTTACTCCGGACAGGTGCTTGTATACTTCATGACAAAAACAATCACATTCGTTGCTTCTGGACTATGATTAATAATTACTATTCTAATTAACTGGTTCAGAACAAACAGGCTCTTGTGGACATAAACACAAACTTTCCGAGGTATCAAAATTTCAGACCCAAACCAAGCATCGCAAACCACTCTACGCATTCTTCTTCACCAATAAACCCTACCATTACCATCAAAAGCAGCTGGCTCGGCCAGAACATCAAAGAAACAAAGTCGTTGCATCTATTTGGCTTCAGTGGGAGCCACTGTCTCCTGAGTCGTAACAGCCGTGTCAGTCTTGGCCGGCTCTTCGGCAGCTGGTTGCTTGGGTTCCTCCTTTGGGGCCTCCACCGGGGCCTCCTTGGGAGCTTCCTCCTTTGGGGCCTCCGCAACCGGTTCCTGCTTGGGGGCCTCTTGCTCTGGCTGGGCTTCGGCAGGTTCTGCGGCAGCAGCGGGGGCGGGAGCTGGCTCGTTGTCCTCCTCAAGGGCCACCGTACGGGCGCCCTCGTGCAGAGCAGGGGCGCTTCCACCGTAGACCTTGGGGAACTGTTCCTTAACGGCAGGCGGGAACTCCCGTGCCAGATTGGCGCCATTGGAAATAGGGTGGAACTTGCGGGTGGTGTTCTTGCTTAAGAAGACCTTGATGGCCGTGAACATCCAACCCATAATAGAGGGGACGTTGACGAAGAACTTCTCTCGGAGCAGCTCTGGATAGGCCGTGGCGAACACGTCAATGGTCTTCTTTGTAGCAGCCTTGACGCTGGGGTTCATGCGCAAGAAGCTGACGTTCAGGTAGTCATGAACCTGGATCATCTGATAAGGATCCTCGCCCTCGTAGTCGATAACCGACGTAGCTTGGTCCATCTTCAAGTCTTTGACGGCAAGCTCCATGAGCGCAACCCGCCAGTTGATGAACCTACACGCCGTCAGAAATGATGTATCCGGTTGCACTGGGAGACGTTGACTTACTCATCCACATTTCCAAACGTTGTACTAAGATCCTTAACGCCTCCATAAATGTTCCAGGTGATAATGGTTTCCTTGCCGTCGGCATCCTTGTACGTGCTCAAGTATCCTAATCCGCCAAACTTTTTGGCGCTGTAGCAGCCCTCAACCAATGCGGTGGGATTGGTTTGCTTGCGCCACTGCAACGCCTTGGTCAGCTGATCCTCAGCCAGCTTTACATTTCCCTCGTTAGCACGAAGGAATTTGATCAGAACGTTGACCGTCGGAACATCGTTGGAACCCCTGAGGGGGACACCCCACATTTCATCATGACCACTGTTGGAGAGCACAGTAGGCAGACGCTCAAACAGCTCACTCAAAGCAGGGTTCTTGACCAGATACTCGGGCTTATTGTCTGCAGGCTTCTCCTCTTCCTGCTGCTCCTGTGCGGACGCAGGTTCCGCTGGCGCATCCTCCGCTGGCGGGGCCGGGGCCGGAGCTGCGTTCTCCTTCGGAGCTTCTGTGGCGGGTGGGTTGGTGGGTTGCTCAGTTGTAGTGTCGACGGCGCTCGGGCCAGACTCCGTAGGTTGCGTCTGTTCTGCTTGGACCTCTGGAGCTGGGGTCGCGGTTGTTTGGGTTGTGGTTTCGGCAGGTTGGGTAGGAGGCTGGGTTTGAGGGACAGCCGAAGCAGTCTTCTCCTGCTGATCAGCCATCTTGGTGTTTAGGTCGAGGGACGGAAAAGGGGTTGGAATGGATGGGTCAGGAGCTCGGCGGGCGCTGCTCGATAGGCAACGAAACTGCACAGGAGAGTAATCACAGTGCAGTGATAAATACTCGATGAAAGGTGGAGGGAGAGAGAAGGAAAGAGAAGGGAAAGTCGAAAAACAACAGACGAAAAAGCAGGCCACACAGATCACATGCCCCCAAGTCACGAGGGGCAGGAAATTGACAGGAGGGAATGACAGTAAGATTAAATTTAATATGGAATTGGTTCTGCTATTTGATTTTATTTGCTTTTTAATCTAGCAAATGAGCCTTAATCTCACGCGGGAGCTACTATAAATATTCCGAGTTTAAGTCGAGTCGAGAAACCGTTCGGCTTACTCACAGATATGCTTTTTCAGGGGGTGAAAGAAAAGAAAAGAAAAAAAAAGAAAAGAAAAGGGAGAAAAATAAAAATATGAGATACATTCTTGACCAACTTGACACATACTCCTCCTCCAACTTTCCTCCTCCTAATTCTTATGATTTCTCTGGTTGCGATCAATCACATTTCCTCCTTTCCTCCCCCAAGAATACAGACATTCGGATCATAGTAATTCACAATCAATCGCGAGAGAGAGAGAGAGAGAGAGAGAGAAGAAAGAGATTTACATTGGTGCTTCCTCTAGCCCTACCTCTCTTTTCTCATGGTAGCCTAACGACCGTCTCAGCCCTTGAATTTTAGTACGATTAATTTCCGTGCAGCGCGAGTGCTGCACCAAGCATGTTTCAGGAGTACCTGAATCGTTAACTAGTTCCATTTCATTTAGCTACTGGCCCGTTCTCGGAGCTGCTACGGAGTCCAGATGGCATGGATTTATGTTATCAAGAACAGGGAGGTATATTGCTCTACGGTCTCCACAAATGTTTTTTTTTTATATCTCTATTTTTTTTGCTATTTTGTTTTCTCTCTTTGTTTTGTCTGGGTTGTTTCCCGGGTGTCACTACTGTTGTCCCTGTACAGACACATACAATCCACCAAGGGTACAACACAACAATGCCTAGTAAGTACGCCGTAGTAGGGCTATTGTGGAGCCACCCCCCCCCCCCCAACGGGTGTTAGCTGCTGCTGCTGCCTCTCGAAATCGGACGAGATGATCAACCCCTGATTGTGACTGTACCACTCAGACATGCATGAAAAACCTTCTGTAAGGTTCTCATGCCAAGTCACATCCAGTTTCCATGACTACCTCTGCACCTCAATCATTCGTTCCTCTCCTCCCCCCTTCACGACGCCGGTCATACGTCCACTTATCAGATCAACGGTGCCCTCATCCTCCGATTTGTTCCCGCACCCAATGATCTATCATCGTGTCTCAACGGAACCAAGTAAATCGATACATGACTGGTCTCCGTCGCAATAGGAATAAGGGACGGAAATACCCATAGTGTTCCTCGTAATTGATAACATAGAACATGGAGATCGCTGGGGAATATACAAATATACAAAAGTAGCATATGTGTCAGGTAAAGATAAAAAAAAGAAAAGAAAGAAAAGAAAAGCACAGGCACAACTTGGCAGTGATCAAATATAATGCCAATAGGAAAAGGCAGCCTCTACTTTCCTCCCCTCAAGAACTCTTGGGGAATCTGGGGCATCGGCGGTGGAACAGCAGGGGTAGAGTTCTTGCTCGCACCTACATCTTCATCCTCGTCCATTTCCTCTAGATCTACGGAATGGCTAAAAAGGAACGTTAGCACACTTACGGGAGGAAGGTCCCGTGTGAAGGGTCACATACGCAAGAAGTTCTTTGATATTCCGCATCTCGTAATGCTTCTTCCTCTGCTGTTCAAATTGGCGATGCTTCTCCTGGGCCTCTTCGGGACTCAACAAGTGGTCCGCATCTGTGGCAGCCCCGCCATTGGGCTCGTTGGTCCCCATCACCACATGTTTGTCGCTCCGGTGCGATTCATTGCTTAGACTCCGCGCGCGTACGATACGATCGCCGTCCTGGGCTCCAGCACTGTCAGGGATCGACCCCTCCGGCTCTCCTAGCTCGAGATCGGGAATCTCATCTTCAGCGACTGTTTTCCGAGCATTTTTGGTCGTCTTGTCAAGTTCGTCCACGACCACCCCTTGCGCATCAATTAAGCTGTCTTCAGCTTCTGCAAGCTCCATTTCTTCTTCGTCCTGGCTTGGATCATAGTGTGGCGCATACGGTGTTTTGGGTTCGTCGATCTTCATCTTTGCGGTTTTCTCCTGTTCAGTCAGGTAAAGATTTGCCTCGTCCCATTTCAACCGTGGCGAATTCTCGTCATGTTGGACACTAGCCACCGATTGGCGTCGTGACGCGGTCCCAGGGTGTGTGGTGGATGAGGAGCGGCGGCGCCCAGCGTTCTGTAGGGTATTTTGCAGGGTGAGCTCCTTCGTATCCATGGGCTCTGTAGAGGGAGCGCGCGGGGCAAAAGATTCAGGTATTGTTTGAATGTTCTGAGAGCTAGGGTTCTTCAGGATACCCTTGGGTCTTTTGTGTGCTTCGTCCATGTTATGCACCATCGTACAATAGCCGTTCGACAAAATCGGACGAAAAGAGAAGGACAATACAAAGGAAACAAAAATGGGATCGCGGAGAAATAGGCGCAATAAAAGGGAAGAGGAGAGAGTAGCGATACTCTTTGGTCAAGAAAAACCTAGTCAGCTGAGATCGCAAAGATCATGAAAGTGAGGCTGAGTGGTCGTCAGAATGATGCGGGATTGGAGGGGTTCTTGAACCTCCTAAGGCTGACCGAAGTTTGCTGCGGAGGGGTTGTTCCTTTTCAGCTGAAGAATCTTTCAAGCCCTCGGACACGTAAAAAGAAGGGACAGTGTGATTAATGGCAGGTTGTCAGAAGTAATCCTGCTCCCCACGTCTAGAAATGGAAGGATGGTGAAAGTGCGAGCGACAAGCGGAAACAACAGTTTCATGAACTGGCACGTGGGGCCCTGCTGCCGATGACGTCGAAGGACCTACTAAAACAAACTGTAACTTTCAACACCAGCTCCCTCCGCGGTACCCGTAGTATTCGTACCATATTGATAACAATTACGCCTAGAGGAGAGAAAAATCAAAGAAACAATGGACAGTGGCCATTGTGGCCAAAGACCTCCATCACGGATTTCTTTTTGCTCGACTACTTGCTCATATCAACTACCAGGGTATGGCGGCTCCGAAACCACAATTTTATAGACCTTTATAACGACATACTTTAGCCCCTATAAAAAGCAAGGAGAGGGCAATAGAAATTGTATATGAGCAGACGGCCACCACTCCTATAATCTCTACAGTCCAGTCCAAGATATAGAACTCCAAAGACTCTGAACCCAAAATCGAGGGAAAGCGAAGAGAAAGCAGAGTGCCAACCTGTTTAAAATGGAAGATAAAGATAAAAAGAATCAATCAATAACATGTATAGGGGAATCTTATAAGATAAGACTAAGAAAAGAAGACCGCAGATAATGATAATAAGAGGAAGAACGGATCCAGATGCTCCATTCCTGCTCTCATGCAAGATATATGAGACGCCGATGTAACAGAGTACAACTACAAGACATGAAAGTCTCCATGTTAGCAGGATACGGCAAATAAATGCAAAAGAATTAGCCAGGTGTAGAGGCTCAAAGAAGGCTGAGTAAAAATATCAAATAAAAGAAAATCAGGTGATAGCGGGTCATGAATGGTATCGTGTCATAACAGAAAAAAGAATTCGAAGAGCGTAAGCTCTTTGAAAAGTCACATGCATGGTTGTAATGAATATTATGCGATAGAATCAAATTCTTCAAGTTCGCGAAGTCTGTTCCGCGCAAGCTCGTCTCCTCCGTTGGCCGACAGCTGCATCCAGTGCAGTGCCAGACACATGCTCTGCGGGTCAGACTTGGGGTCCTTATCCCTCCGGAGCAATGTCTCCTCTTTGAAGGTATCCCGCAGAAAAGTGAGAGGTAGGGTAACACGGGGGAGGAGCTCCGGGTGAGTGAGATAGAGAATTGCCAACTCCCGCTGAGCAACTGGATTTCCCTCTTTCGCAGTAATGATCCACATCCCGGCAGCATCCTCAATGGCATTACCGGGTCTTGCATGCATGTCATGCCCATGAGGAGGGTGGCGCCGGCTGAGCTCTTGGGAGACAATATTGTCGGCGATTTCAACCATGCTGTTGCAGATCTCGTCCTTCAAACTTAGGGCTGCCAAACCAAACTGTAGGAATGCGGTTCCACTATCGGTCTTGTTTAATGTCTCACCGGGGACAAAAGATGAAATAAATTGCAAATCACGGAAAAGAGTCTTTGGTTTCACTTCGAGAATTATATCACGCAGGGCATCCACGATTTGGCTTTCCGTCGGGGCTGAATAGTCAGAGGGGCGGGAGTCAAAGATGACTGACTCGTCGGTAGGAGACATTGGAGTATGGGTAAACCTGGCCGAGACCCGATTTGTCTGGGTTTCCACAAAACTGTGGCGAGCTGCTCTCCTCCCTTGGATACCACTGCGTCTGTGGCAAGATGGTTCATCGACGAGAGGGGAATGAGTTTTATCGTCATTAACTGAATTTAGTGAGGCGATGACCAAGGCGCGCAGGTCACGTAACGCTCTCAGCTTGGCAAATGGGCTTCCATGGCGTGAGAAGACCTCGATCAAACGACGAAATACGGCTCTGTATGAGAATGGGGATTGGTCGTCAAGTCTCGCATTGGCATCGCTCGAGGATGAAGGTAATGACTCAATGATATAGGGTTCATCTCCCTCCAGAGGTCCAAGTGATCTGCTTCTTCGAGAACTTGGCGATGTACGATTGATAGCTTGGCGGATCAGCCGCTCGTCGTACTCTGCATAGAACCGCTGTATCCGAGACCGTTTCTTCATCTGTGCCTGGATTCTCCTCTGGTCCAGAGCATTACCAAACCAGGCATCGGTCTCGCTACCACAGCTCCATACTGGGGAGCCCAAGTCACTTAATAAAAGACTTGTAAGCGTTTGTCGTAGACCATCCAAAAATGCTGCCTTGCCAAGAATTTTACGATCGTTGCGTCGGGGTTGTTGACTTGCAGTCTCACTCAGGAGTGATGGGGGTCGAGAGTAGAGGCTGGACACGCTTGGGGCATATTGTGTGGCCTGATGTGGTGCCGACCAAAACGTGCTGCAGGAATCTCCAGTGCAGGTCGACGGAGTCCTTCCTGGGGAGCCCACGACTGAAGAAGTATCGGCGATAGATGGCTCTCGAGGAGCCCTCCACTTGTCAGAGATCAAACTCTGGAAGGATGTTTTGGTATTCAACGGAGGAAGTTCATGTGAGAACCTTGACTGGGAGTCGGATGGGCGAACATTATTGGAATATGCATGTAGTGAATTGCTAGGCTCATCACTGGCGATGCTGAAGGGCCGTAGACTAGAAGAAAGACCAAGGAAGCTTCGGGTGCTGGAGCCTTCGTACTTGGCTCGTTCTCGATGGTATAGTTCACTGGCCCACAACACAGGGGTCTCCGACATAGTCTCTCCGACTAGTCGACTGACACTTGATTTGACCTCGTAACAAAATCGGTGGATGCGTTCCTCGCCTTTGCAGAAATTCTCGATATTGTTGTTGCTTAGCCATTTTCGAAGTAAATCCACCTGTTCGTCCGAGAGTTTATTCGGACTACCATAGCTCCTTGGCGCCTTCATGACATCCATGACCTGCAGCTCTGGCTTTTGAAGTAAAGACCCACCGAATGATCTTCCCGTGGCGCTGGATCGACCCTCATTAGGCGTCTGTTTGTAGAGATGCGCGGAGTATATCATCGTCTTCAATGCCAACGCAACATGTTTAGCTTCCTCATACCTCTTTGAGTTCTTTACATCGGTCATGTACCACATCTTGTCTCGCAGCTTTCCTACCGTGGCCATCGTGTCCTTTACTGTTCGCTGCAGTCGCTGCATATGGCGGTCGAGGGCGACAAAGTCACCTTCGCAGCGTTCGATAACGGAACGTGAAGTCTGAAGGGAGCGGACACTTGAGGTATACATTGGCTGAAGAATCCACGCGTCGTCTGCAAGCCGAGTGGGAGAGTTGGCGGCACTCCGAACAAGCTGTCGGCCAGCGTTCCACCAATAATGGGCACCAATGAAATCAGAGGTGTGGTGACAAGAAGCCATAGCCCGATCAAACCTTTGCTTGAGGGACAGGCTGCCTGTTTGCAAAGCATCGTGAGCTTGATAGTCAAATTCAACATGGTCATCGGCCGGATTTTCTTGAATCAGTTTTACAATAGCTGTTTGAAGAGCTTCGAAGTTGTCTTCCAGGCCTAAGGTGGTGGACTGCACGTCATCGTCTGGTGCATTTTTCGGATAAGTGGATTGACTGTCAGAGAAAAGGCTCCAGAGCAGGCGCCTTCCGTTCTGTGCAATTGAAAATATGGTCCATTCTTCAGCGGATGGGGGCTCTAAGTTGGAGCGACCATAAGGTTCGCCCGAATCGGACAGTTCAAAGCGAATCCGATCGGCATTGCGAGCTAACGAATTCTCTGGGAGGGACAAGAAATCCATGTCGGTTGAGAAGAGTCCTCTGATGGAAGGCCGCCTGGAGTGATTATTGACAATGGGTTTGAAAAAGCCCGGCTCGGCTACTGGAGTTCCCTGCCTTTCCGATAGGGATTGCAGAGACCTGAGAGACCTGAAAGAACCAGAAATTCCCAAAGATGGGGTTGGAGAGTTGCACACGGGGGAGCATGTCCTAGGGAAAAGGGCATTCAGTAGACTGAGAATGTCAGTGGCCGAAAGCATTAAAAAGATAGCCGGTGACTCGCGTCCACCTGCAGAGCTAATGTACGACGAGCGCGGGATATGGGCTTGTCTTTCAGAGGCCGAATTTTGGAATCGTGAAAGCATGTTCTCAATATGCTGCCTGACCGTGGGACGCGCCATGGAGAAGTGAGTCCTATGAGGGATAGATTTCGTCAGCTTAGTTCATTATCGGCAGCGATTTAGATAACAATGAGCGCAGCATACATTGAGCGTAGGACGGCGTAGACCTGGTAATAAGCCTGGAGCCCAACTTGTCCTAGGAGTTTTTCTCGCGCATCTTTTCTAATATGGAAGTCAAGCAACAGTCCGTGTGCCTAAAAATAGGGTCAGACCATCGAAAAAAGGGTGTAAAGGTAGATCAAGTGACTAAAATCATACCTCAGGGAAGGTTAGTGCACCATAGAGGAACTTAGAGAAATACCACTGGGTAAATAGGAACTCCAGGAAACGATCACGACAGTCCTGGCGATCCAGCTTGTGCAATATGGCGCTGCTCAGTTCCATCACCCCAACGGGAAGTCCTCCGTCTGGGTCATCCAAAAGCCGGAACAAATCATCTACCGCAGAGGCAAAGAATTCCTCGGCTACATCCGTTTTCAAAGGGTCTGGAAGCTCGGCGTCAAAGTTCAGACCGGGTGGGGTATCTACATGTTCCAAGAGGAATGCACCAGTTTGGAGAATATCCATGAGGTAGAGTTCAAATTTGGGCTTAGCTTTCCAATCACTGCCTATGGACCAGGCG